TTGATAATAACAAATTTAATGTTTTAATTAAATATTACCACTATAATTCCCACATCTAATTTTGAATTTCATTTATTAATCCAATAATATAGGACAAAGAAAAACCACACGCATGTAATGTTGTTTTTCCACATAAAATTGTAAAATATAAAAAAAACAACATTTAAAATGTACAAATATTGCTAAAAGTGACTTCTAGGTCTGTAATCCGAGTTTCCTCTGACTCTAACCCCTAATGTCATATCTCTCTTATAAAAGCGGGGGTTAGAGTCGAAGGAATCTCGGTATAAGCACAAATCACTATAATAAAATATTACTTACTTACTTATAACATACCTTGTGTTTAGATTAAGACTAATACAAAACCCTCAATTGACAGCTTGAGGGAAAAATGTTTGAAATTTATGGCTAGTTGAATAACGACCCCGATCAGAATAATCAAAAGCATGGGCGGGCGTGTATGAGAGTCTGGAATTTTTTTTTTATCATACATATATACCTCATGAATAGGCTAATAATAATATATCATTTAATTTACCTGATTGGCGTTGGTTGAAGGCACTCACTGTACGTCTGTACAGTGCTTCACCGCCGACGCCGTTTTCCTCTGTTCTTACTGCCGGCACCTCTTCAGCTTCATCATCGATATCGTTTGCGTTATTCAGTTCACTTCTGAGGGCATTTAAAGCAGTCCCAACCATTGAATAAATAGATGAATTTGCCATAATAATTCAAAAATATATTTTAGCCTTCTTTAAAACATACTCAAAGGTAAACGACATCGAACTTTGTGGCGGGAAGCTGAGTGTTGCATCACAGGGAGCATTCATTAAGTCGATCATAATTTTATTTGGATCTTATTTTCTGATATCAAAAAATCGAGTTTTTGATATCAGAAAATACTTGTCATTATTTGATATCAGAAAATCATTTTCTGATATCAAGAATTCGAATTCCTGATATCAAAAAATCATTTTCTGATATCAGAAATTCGAATTTTTTATATAAAAAATCTTGTTTATTTTCTGATATCAAAAAATCGATTTTGAGATATTAGAAAATGTATTTATTGATATCAAAAATTCTTCATTCTTTTTTGATATCAGAAAATGATTTTCTGATATCATAAATTTGATTTTTTGATATCAGAAAATGATTTTTTGATATCAAAAATTAGAATTTTTGATATCAGAAAATAAACAAGATTTTCTGATATCAAAAATTAGAATTTCTGATATCAGAAAATGATTTTTTGATATCAGAAATTCGAATTCTTGATATCAGAAAATCATTTTCTGATATCAAAAAATCTATTTTTTGATATCAAGAATTATTTTTTGATATCAAAAAATATTTTTTGATATCAAGAATTTGAATTATTGATATCAATAATTTCTTTTTTGATATCAGAAAATACCTCAAAAATATTAAAACGGCGCCTCATATCAAGCTAATTCAGAGAATTTGTGTCCCCCGCTTAGGGAAAAAGTAAGCCATGCACAGTTCGGGGGGAGGTGGGGGGGGATCGGATCCCCCTGACTGAATTTGAAGAATTATTAAATGTTTACGTGTATATTGAAGCAAATAAAAATGCCATTATGGATATAAAAATTTGCTTGCTTATTCTTTATTATGTGTATAGAATATTCTTTTAATATGGAATATTTATCACACTGTAATGATGATTTTATGAGTTTGTACAAGCCAGACCTCATAAATTTTTCATTTCACATGCTTAATACTATCATTCAGTAAAAAAAAGTATTTCGAAAAAAAAAATGGACCGTCCGGAATGCGAACCCGGGACCTCTCACACATGAAGAGGGAGACATACCACTAGACCACGGAGCGTCTGTTATTTAGCAAGAATAATATGCAAATATGAAGTCACATAGATGTAAATATTCACTTTCGATATTGTCAAAATTTTACACAATGCATGGTGTCTAATAAACCTTTATTAAACAGTTCTAATAGATGTAATAAAAATATTAAGTCCACCGAGAACCTGTTTTATACGTAATGACTCTCCTCATGCCCCTGTGCTAAAAATAGCGACATGTAATAAATACTAATAAAACAAACGGGGCGGGACACTTTGAGAGGGGTGAGAGAGTTCCTAGGGAGTTCTGATATAAAATTACATTGCAAAAGCTCAAAATCTTCTTGAAATATCGCCCGGAAATGGTAGTGTTTCATACAGAGAGAATGTACAAATTTACGACCTTGAACTTTGACCTTTTGACGTCAAAATCAATAGGGGTCTTTATTAGGCCACAGGGAGTTGTTATGTAAAATATTTCATTGCAAAAGCTAAAAGGATTCTCGAGATATCGCGCGGAAACGAAAGTGTTATAACAGAGAGAATTTGCTTATTTATCACCTTGACCTTTGACCTTTTGACCTCAAAATGAATAGGGGTCTTCCTTAGGCCACAGGGAGTTGCTATGCAAAATTTCATTGCGAAAGCTCAAAGGGTTCTCGAGATATCGTGTGGAAACGAAAGCGTTACAGACAGACAGAAAGACGGACGGACGGACATACCCAAATTAATATCCCCCACTTTTCAAGCGGGGGACAATAAACGTTATGACCATGTTCAAAGAAGGCAAAACTACTAGATCATGGTAATAGGGTCAAAATTCTTGGGCTTGTCACAGAAAATACCTGTGTGAAATATAAAAGCCCTTGTACACTGTACAAACCGTTCAAAGTAATGGCAAAAGTTTTACAAAAATGGGTCAAACTCTAAGGTCAAGAGGTCATGTCACATGGAATGCGTACATTTCTGAATTCTGAAATTAGCTGTAGAACTGTAGCTCTCAGAAAAAAATATTTTGACAGACAGGAGAGCTACAGTGCCACCCATTGTAAAATCTGTATATTTATTGCGCACAAAACGTTGCGCGTCGTGCTGAATTAATTCTTCCAAATTCTTACCCACTCGCGAAAAAGACAGATTCATAAAAATTCCTTACTTCTCTATGAAGTACTCCCGTAGTTGACACCTGCAAGAAGTCCGTAGGACCAAATTATTTTGCAAGCCAAAATGGCAGTATAAGTAGACGATATTTTTGATGATCTCAATTTCAGGACCAGGAGGTCTATTAACAACAAGGAATGTTTTGTTGAGGAAACCGTGAAAAAATATGTTAGGAACACACTGTTAGTAATATTTTGAGATGACAGTTTAAAATCATGGAGAAATCAATCGAGAAACGGAACACTTTTTGTGCGATAAATATACAGTTTTTTTCAATGGGTGGCACTGTAGCTCTCCGGTATGTCAAACTATTTTTTTCGGAGAGCTACAGTTCTGCAGCTCTTCTGAAATACAAAAGCCATAGTTTCAACCGATCAAAAATTAATGAAAAGGTTACAAAGTTTTTGTGGACAAATAGAAACAACAAATAAACAGAAATACGGACGTGCAGGGCAAACACTAAATGCCCCCGAATTATCGATTATAATGGCATAAAAATAACGCATTTTTTATTTATTTTCGTTTCAAACAATCTCGACACAACAGTTGTAACATAAAAGGGAGATGAAAGGGAGTTCACAGGTACAGGTAAGACTCAAGATTTCTCTCTTATAATGTATAGTGGGATATTTTTTGTGGAGCGATTATTTTGGGGTTTTGATGATTTTTTGAATTTCATATTGTACACATGATGAATATGTGTAATAAATATAATTTGTGAAAAAATGTCTAATAAGCCCTGGGGTTGAATATCGGGGGGGGGGGGGTGTTCCTGTCCACAAGTATGAGGGAGATGAATTAAAATTAAGTATACAATGCATGTGATGCAAGTCAAAGCATTCAATTCAAAGCATCCCAACTTGTTGAACTTCTTTCAGTGCAAACATTGAATCGCGCCCGTAGAAAGAAGGGGGGAGGGGGGGGGTAGATCTACGCTAAAATGTACAATGCCTATATTATGTCTACCTTTGTAAAAAAAAAAAAAAAAAAAAAAAAAAAAAAAAGCCTTTCATGGTGATCAATTTTTTAAGCAGGAGGTCCAATATACAATTATGTTTTAAGGCATAATTAATCTCTACCTGTGAAGTAAATTAAGACTTTGCAAAATGTAAAAATTAATTACTACATGTACTCCTAACATCTAACCGATTAATGCAAAAAATAAATATATAGGTGTCTTCTACAATGAAGCGCATTGAAAAGATTTTCCGTTTGAATGGAACGTTTTGAACCATCTTTGGAACATTGATTGTCATGCCCATTTCTTCAGAAAGAAAAACAAGAGGCCCATGGGCCACATCGCTCACCTGAGTAACTTTGGCCATTTTCTTATTTAACAGATTCCCCCCTTTGTAATACTGTACCTATCTTGACCTTGCCCAATCCCCAGGGGTCATGGTTTGAACAATTTAGAATCTACACTATATATCCAGGATGCTTCCACTTAAGTTTCAGCTTATCTGGCCCGTTGGTTTTTAAGAAGATTTTAAGAGATTTCCTATATATTTATATGTAAAACTTGTATTCCCTATTGTGACCTTACCCTATGCCCGGGGGTCACGTTTGAACAATTTAAAATCTACACTATCCCAAGGATGCTTCCCTATAAGTTTAGCTTTTCTGGCCAAGTGGATCTTGAGAAGAAGATTTTGAAGAATTTTCCATATATTTCTGTCAAACTTGGATTCCCTATTGAGGCCCTTCCTTAAGCCAGGGGGTCACGTTTAAACAATTTAGATTCTACATTACCCCAGGATGCTTCTATATAAGTTTCAGCTTTTCTGGTCCAGTATTTCTTGAGAAGATTTTTTATTTACCTCACACTATTTTTGTATTCTCTTGATTATCTCCCCTTGAAAGGGCACTAACAATTTATACTCCAATTTTACTATGTCAATGTACTTCATTGTATACATATAACTTATTACTTTGTAAATATAAAGGAAAAGATCATACAGACTTAATAAGCCTTTAAAAGTCCTATGTAAGTAACAAATAATGAAGGAAAACACTTGAATTATTTTATAACATTTATTAACAATGGAAATCATTCAATTTCCGTTTCATAATTTCAACTGATTGAATGCACTTTGGCTACTTTTAAAATGCAGGGTTTATGTTAAAAACTTAAAATCAACATTATTTCAACCTTAAATTGAGCAGAAAATGAATTACATATAATAAATGTATCAACATTAATTATTTTGTTATTCATATAGAACACATACATATGCATATGCTGATCAACTAGGGAAATTGCATACATAAATATTCATGTAAAACATATAGTATTATACCATCTTATATATCCAGTACATTAATTAGGATGAGATTTTTAATACCTAAAACACTAATACATGTTATATTAAAAACATACAGATGCAGTATCTTTGCATGAAGATGGCACCAATTTCATTGATATATATGAATATGCCTGATTTTGTTGTATAATCAATGACAAATATGACATAAAGGAACATTTGTTAAACAATTACACACAAAAGAAATTACCGGTAATCTTTATTCAAAGTAAAACATATGAGGAGTTTAATTATGCCCAATATGCTGCAAGAATACAAAGAAAGTAAAAAAAAAAATAAATGCAGTATAAGGCATTTCTTTAAACATGAACCTTTTCAAATAAAGCATTCCTGTCAAATTATGAGGTCACATGAAGTAAAAATCTGTCAGACAGTCAAACTGATGCTAAATCACGGTTAAATGTGGGATAGTGGTGAACAATTACATGCAATCACTGCATTCAAAGTAGCCTTTACACTATATGCATACTGTACATACATCCAGAAATATTTATACATGTACTCATTTTATATAAATAGTGTAACTGTTTTATCACAGCAAGTAATCATAAAATTCATGACAAACCTTCAATTTATGCATGCTGTAATTATATTCCTCATGTGAACATAACAAAATTATAACATCATTTCATGTGTTCAATCACCTCTGGGACTAGACACACACAAACACACACACAACAGCACCGACAGAAGATTTTAGAATTCCCTGCAGATATCCATCTCTCTTAGCTCACGATTCCTGGTTTTAAAGAAGTTCTTGAAATATTCATAGGAGGAGATCATGATGGCACAAGCTGGTGCTACCTTCACAACCCGAGGAACTAGACCTGTAAAGAATCAGGTAAATAAAGATTATACACGGATCTTGCAAGCATTTCTATCAAATGAAAGACTGCTCAAAAAGAGGTTTAGATTATATATACAGACTAGACATACCAGCAAACAAGGCATGAATTCCCTCCCTTTGGTACAGCTGTATAATGAGGCGTAGTGTTGAGGTGACTTCCTGGGAACCTAAAACAGAACACAGAATGAGGGCAATTTTCTAAATTTATCTATAAGTATTGAAAACATTTAAACGATAGTAATTAGTTATTTTCAAAATTCCTTTTAAAATTAGACAGATGGCATGTGTAAATTCCGTCTCCACCTATTCAGATGGAAAAGTTTAGCACCAAGCTAAAAAATTAAAGGTGCATTTAGTTCATGGCTTGTTGTAAGCAATAAGACAAAAAAGAAATCATTTTTTCCTTTCACAAAACCATTATTGTAAGCATTCTTAAAATTTATTACAGATGAGAAAAAAAAAATTATTTTGTAACTGAACTACCCCGGTATTTTATCTTCACACAGAAATAACCTGTTAGTTATTAAATTTTGGATTGTTTCATAGATATTTCTTTTCTTTTAATTTGGCAATGCAAAAATACACAAAACAGTACCTCTGACATTTTCTCAAATTTGATGAAAAACAGAGGTATCGAAGTATTTTAGATATCAAGGGTTAAATATTTAAAGAATAAGTGGTTAAGACTTCCAAATCACTTTGACATATCCATGATATTCAAGATATCAGTATTTGAGATATTGAAGTAGTTCAACTGTAGGTTGTATAGCTGTCATTTAACATATTGCTTTGACAGGATTTTAAAAAAATAAAATTTTGTAGTAAGTCAATCACTGAGAATTTTCAGGCAATAAGAGGCTTAATTAAACTGACTCCAGACATGTTCATTACCTCTAATTCGTCTTTCGCCAATAGTAATCTGACGATGGGTTTTGATTACATCGAAAGGCAAAGTTAAAATTGCAGCAATCTGTAAGAAAAGATTAATGAAATTTTAAAAATCAAAACAATAGAAAAACTGATTATGTACTTCAAGACATTTGTTCATAAAATAGTCAACAAAAACATGTCAGCATGTACATCACTGTAAACATAATACATTTGACTGCGTATTCTTTTTGGTGGAGATAACTTCTGCTAATTTAAGTACATTGCTAAATGTCTTGCACATATACACAAAATTGACACATAAAGAAATGTGCTAAATAATACCTAGGCTTACGTACTAAAAATCATTACACATTAACAGTATTATGTGTTTCTCCACCTACCCCTCCTGAGACAGCTCCACAACAGAAACTCTCAACAGTCGTCATCTTATGTGATAGGGACTTCTGTAAAATGACTGACTTCATCCCCTCATATCCAAACCAGTAAAAAGCTGAAATAGGCAGTTTAATTAGCATTTCGAATCTCATAATTGCAAAGATCATAAAAACCGTGAACTGTATGTAAGAAGTCTACTTGACCTCTTTAAAAGACAAAAAATATTTCTATTTTCAAAAAGAAAATATTTATTGTTATTATTTTTCCACAATTTTTTAAAAATCAAATATTGCAATCTACAGGGAATATATCTTTTAAAGTGTTGACTTCTCTTTTTACCTGAGAATGGTACATCCCTGAGGAGTGTGGGAGTGAGACCTCTGTACATGGACTTGACCATGCCCCCCTCCCTCACAGTATGCTGGACTGCTGTCAGAACCTGACTGTAATTCAGCTGCTCAGACTGCATCTTAGTCCTGACCATCTCCAGAGGGCTGATAGCAAACACTGCTAATGCTGTAAAAAATTATAACTGTGTTAATGTACTCATAGTATAGTGTCCCCTTTCTCCTTATCAAATACTCCGAGTTGGTTTTTATCAATGCTGGTGTTTTAGAATACACTATCAAAGCAGAATTGTTAGAAAAGGTCCAAGTAAAAGCTGCAAGAATTATTACTGGTCTAAGAGTAAATTCCTCAAGATCTTTTAAATACAAAGAACTCAGTTGGGAGCCATTATACCAGAGAGAAAAAAAAAACAAACTAATATCATTTCATAAAATTTTCCATGGTATTGCCCCAGATTATCTTCGCAAATTATTACAGCTTCTCTAACCAGTGTAGCACTCTTACAATCTGAGATCAGATCAAAGTAATATTTCATTACCATTATGTAGAACTGTATTTTAGAAATACTAGGATAGTTTTGTTCTTTTTGAAAATAAAAACAATTTGAACGACCACTTAGCAGTAAATATTTCAACTATGGTAACAGAAAAGAGTATATAAATGTACCACACTGTCAACTATGTAATGAAGCTAGCATCCTTTATGCACACTTAAACATGACATAAAAGCTGATGCATCTTGTCCTATGTGTGATAACCATTATGATGATAATTAATACTTTTTTATGAATAGTACAAAGAGTGCAGTTGGTTTACCTTTTGAGTTTAAGGTATTTTTACATGGGATCTGGGAGTTTGGAGTTTTACTATCAAACAAACTTACAAACATTACAAATTATGTACATGAAAATTGTCAGGTTAACAAAACGTTTTTTTTAATACATTTTACCTGGATACATATTTTTTATGCTGAATGTTCTTTATACATGTATAATTATTTGTTTATATGTTATTTTTGATTTGGATCTGTGCAAGTCAGGTTGTGTTTGAGTGAGGGAGGGTGTGTGTAAGGATGTGTGTGAGAGTGTGTCTTTACCTGTATTGTATTATAAACATTAACTCAGTTCATTGTATTTGTTACCTTGACTTGTATAGAGAGGGTATTTATAGACAGTTTGCCTGTTGCCCAACCTATTAATCAGTATTCTGAATAAATATTGTTGATCTCCCTCCCAAGGGAACTAGGGTGATAAATTTATAATACTAAACAAAGTTTAGCATTTATAAAATTGCTTATTATCTTAAAGTCAAAAATATTCACATATTGAGTTAAATAATCTGGGAGTAGGCCTGCTTAAGCTGCAATTCATAGAACCAGATGGACATGCCGATTCCAATACACCCCCTTCCATCCAGTTAATTAATTGGAATTATTTTGTAAAATATCAAATTAGTTTTAATTACTTTATACAATATTTATTTTGATAGTTAGGCTAGCCAACAAAAACAATTCATCCAACACAAGTAATAAGATGTTGATTCCTTTGCCCAATTCCAAAGAGATGTTATAAAAGATAAAATCTGCTTGATCAGCAATGCTATTCAAGTTAGCTCCTCACACTAAACTCATTAATTTCTCTCTAATTTGACATGCCATTTTCTGTTATCAAAATTCTCCTTGACTAGTGCTTGATAATAACATGCATGGGAGATGTGGAATTTTTTTTATAACATAACGTTATAGATTGCTGCAAAGTATATAGTAAAAAATAAGGTATTTTCGTGTTTTAATATTGTAATACTGTAAATGTACGGTACTTCTTTCCATGGGGTCATAATTCTGCGAATTCACTATTTCTGTTTCGCAGGTAGAAAATTACACAGATTTAGAAACCTAAAATTTAGACTCTCACTAAAAGCCTTATATGCATTTTAAGTATGATGGGACAAATATCTGCGGAAAATGTGACCGCGTACATAGTGTAGATTAATACAGGTACAATGCGGAAAAAAGTACTTCTACAGTCTTTTTTAAAAATATTTTGGGGGATTGTAAATTTTCAGCTAATAGTGGGTCCAACTTCCAGACCTGCAGGCTAGATTAAATCCTGGGTAAGGAGATATAAGGAACTCACTTCGAGCACTAGCTCCAGCCATTATGGGTTTCCACCAGTCATTTTCTGTTAGACCTGCCGAGTAACCAAATAAATTCCTAAAATGTTCGTAACAGGAGAAATAAACCACTGTGGCAGGTACAGCCATAACTCTGGAAGTAAAAATGGCAAAATATTAGTCACATTTTTATCTGAGAAATAACTGAGTGCACTGAGCTTTGAAGATTACTGTACATCACTTTTTATTCGCGAGAACTTTATTTTCGAGTAATTACGCAAGACAGTGTGCTCGCGAAAATTTAATTCTCGCGTATAATAGTATTCTTTAAGATTATATAGAGCAATAACCACAATTCGCGAAAATTTTGTCTCGCTAATCAAAAGTCAAAGACTATCTCGCAAAAATAAGGTGTCGCGAGAATTTAGTGATCTACAGTACTTAAAAATATAACAAAAATCTAGCATGTTTTTCTATCTATCCATCTGAATTTCTTGGCTACATTTCTGATACACAAAGTAATTTCAAGTCTTTAAATGTTAAAACTCACAATGTGGGAGGCAGTCCACTCCACAGTGATCTCAATCCCTCGTGTCTGGTAATCTGCATCATCGCATCCTAAAATATCAACAATATACTGAAATATATCAATATACCTTTATACATGTAAATTTGCAATTGCTTTTCCTTTTAAAACACATTCTTACCAATGTGTTTCAATCATTATGTTCATTCTAGATGTCCTGCTGCATGCATTTACATTATTTTCTAAAAAATATTGGGGGCAAGAAGAATCAGTTGCATGGCTATTGTAAGAAAGGAGAAATGCATGAAGAAACATATGGGTGGATCAGGATCAAACCTGAGACCCCTGTATTACTAGTCAGGTGCTCTTACCACTGAGCTATCCAGACCTTCATGGCGTTTAAAGCCCAAACGTCTATACTACTGTAAATCACTTTTTATTCGCGAGAACTTTATTTTCGCGTAATTACGTGAAACAGTGTGCTCGCGAAAATTTTATTCTCGCATATAATAGTATTCCTTAAGATTATATAGAGCAATAACCACAATTCGCGAAAATTTTGTCTCGCTAATCAAGAGTCAATGACTATCTCGCGAAAATAAGGTGTCACGAAAATTTAGTGATCTACAGTATACAAGTATCAATGATGTGGCACTATCACCACTGAAGGATTCTTACATTGCCAGGATGGTCAAACTGTGTAATTATAATTTCTAGTCTAAAATGATCCTTGGAAAAAGATTCTCTTAATAAATCCTTATTATGTGAAATTTACCTGAGTTTTTATATATTACTTTTAGTGCACTGATCTGAGTTCTGCAAGAAGTACTTTATATTACACTAAGTAGGACCTACCACTGTGCCTTTGTAGGGACCAGGCACTTTTCGTTTATACCAATATCCATTGTTGCCCCCGTTAAGACATGTACACAGATGATCCATTAATCCATTGCAGTATAAAAAGCATTTCCCTTTCACCAGTGGCACTTTCTGGGATTGAAGCCGGATTTTCACAACATCAAAAGGCGTCACTGCAAAATTACTCAACAAATTCAAATACTTGTAAATAAAAGTGTACTACTAATTTACTAAGCACAACTGATATTAATTTTAGAGATCTATATCAATAATAAATTGAACCTTATTGATTTCAGCATTCATTTTTGGATGGTTTAATTTTTAAGGGGAAAAGGCATTGTTATCCAGGCCTTTTTTCTCTCCATTTGTTAACTACATGTACTGTAAGTGTTTTTATTTTAGGCTGAACATTGATCTCCAGAATGCAACGTTAAAGGTGGAACATTTAGCAATTTATCTTTAAGACTTAGTTATACAGGTCCCAGTTATACAAGCGTGCATAAAGTATACTGCTTTGACCCAAATCATTTTCTTTTTTTTTTTTTCAAATTAATGTATGAGAAATTTCTTATAATGCCTTCTTATAAACGGACATGATAAAACTAAATTTGAAAATATATTTTTAAAAATCGTTATAAGGTGATAAAATGATGTCCATTTCAAGCTGATATGCAGTGGCTTACGCAATCTGAAAATCTTACCAAGAAGAGAGGTGAGGATGGCGCCCGTGCAAGATGAAATCATCTGCTGCACGGCCGTGATGTCCTCAAAAGTCCCCCCTGTCATCTCTCCGCTGCATGTGTTCCTCTGGGGGTGCTAAGTGCCCATCCTGTTACTAAACATAACGAAACGAATGTTTACACACGTGAAACGGAAAAGAAAACCTTCGGACATAGGTCACTGTATTTTTAAAATGCCGAACCCGATGCAAATAAAAACAAGAGGCCCAAGGGCCACATTGCTCACCTGAAAAACTTTGGCCATGCTGTTCTTTAACAGATTTCCCCTCCTTGTAATACCAATTGTGACCACACCCTACCCCTGGAGGTCATGATTTGAACAATTTAGAATCTACACTACCCCAGGATGCTTCATGCTTCCACATAAGTTTCAGATTTTCTAGCCCTGTGGTTCTTGAGAAGAAGATTTTTAAAGTTTTTTCCTACATATTTCTACGTAAAACTTAATTTCCCTATTGTGGCCCCGCCCTACCCCCGGTTGATTTGAACAATTTAGAATCTACACTACCCCAGGATGCTTCCACATAAGTTTCAGATTTTCAGGCCAAGTGGTTCTTGAGAAAAAGATTTTTAAAGTTTTTTCCTACATATTTCTATGTAAAAGTTAATTTCCCTATTGTGGCCCCGCCCTACCCCCGGGGGTCATGATTTGAACAATTTAGAATCTACACTACCCCAGGATGCTTCCACATTAGTTTCAGATTTTCAGGCCCAGTGGTTCTTGAGATGAAGATTTTTAAAGTTTTTTCCTATATATTTCTATGTAAAACTTGGATTCCCTATTGTGGCCCCGCCCTACCCCCGGGGGTCATGGTTTAAACAATTTAGAATCTACACTACCCCAGGATGCTACCAAATAAGTTTCAGCTTTTCTGGCCCAGTGGTTCTTGAGAAGAAGATTTTTTAATGACCCGCGCCACCCTATTTTTGTATTTTCTTGATTATCTCCTCTTGGAAGGGGACTAGGCCCTTGATTTTTATAATTCAAATTCCCCTTCACATAAGGATGCTTTGTACAGAGTTTGGTTAAAATTGGTTCAGTGGTTCTAGAGAAGATTAAGTTGAAAATGTGAAAAGTTTACAGACGGACGGACGGACAACGGATAATGGGTGATCAGAAAAGCTCACTTGAGCTTTCAGCTCAGGTGAGCTAAAAATGCCATTAATTTTTCTGTAATTCATAATTATCTCCCCTTGGAAGAGGCCGTGGCCCTTCATTTGAACAAACTTGAATCCCTTTTACCCAAGGATACTTTGTAGTTTGGTTGAAATTGGCCCAGTGGTTCTTGAGAAGATGAAAATGTGAAAAGTTTACGACGACAGACAACGGACAAATTTTGATCAGAAAAGCTCACTTGAGCCTTCGGCTCAGATGAGCTAAAAATCCAAGAAATCGAAGCAATTCTTTTGTCAAATGTAATATTATATACCCCTAATTTATACAAAAGCTTATATCGATGAAAATCATTTGAAAGCAATGTTAGCAATATGACAAATGCATTTCTTATGACTTATTTGAAAGATAAAAAAACTTAAATTATTTATACTTACAAGAGGCCCATGGGCCACATCGCTCACCTGAATAACTTTGGCCATGCTTTTTCTTCACCAGCTTTCCCCCTTGTAATACTTATTGTGACTCTGGCCTGCCCTACCCGCAGGGATCAGGATATGAACATATTAGAATCTACACTTGGACCACAGGATGTTCCTATACTTCAGTTTCAGCTTTTCTTTCGCAATGGTTCTTGAAAAGTTTTTTCCTACATATTTCATTGTAAAACCTGGGATTCCCTATTGTGGCCCCACTCTATCCCTAAGGGTCATGATTTGAACAATTTAGGCCCATTCCTAATTTTAAGGCATTTCCCAGTCCTAACACCATAAAGACCATGGTCCCAATGTTCCCAAGAAGTCAATTTTTCCCCTTTAAATAAAATATTTAAATTAAGATTTAATTCCCCTATAGTTTTCCTGAGTCAATTTACTTTGATTGCCAAATGTGGCCCAACCCTACCTCCAGGGGTCATGAATTGAATAAACTTGAATCTATATTGCCTGAGAATCAATGCTTTCACAGAAATGACTAGTCATGGCCTTGTTGTTCTTGAGATTTTTAAAGAAATCCTAGATACAATGTGGCACCACACTATCTCCAGCGGAAGGGGTGATTTGAACAAATCTGAATTTACAATAATAAAGCTTTCTTTATATATATTTATTTCATTTTCTGCCCCATTGGTTCTAAAGAAGGGATTTTCGAAAAATGCCATTCATTTTTTCCATTCTGATCTCCCCTTGTAGGAGGGTGTTGCCCTTCCATTGATGAAACTTGAATTTCCTTCACCCAAGGTTGCTCCATGTCAAGTTGGCATGAAATTGGCCCTAGAGGTATGGAGAGAAGACAAAATTGTGAAAAGTTTCTGATGACAGGCCTTCATCTCAGGTGAGCTAAAACTATTATGATGCAAAAATCAAAATACCTTGACTTTAAGTAGATTAAGGTCCAAGTACATTTCCATTCCTTAAATATGATATGGATCCATAACCTAGAAGCATACTAGGGGGTCAAATTGTAGAATTGTCGTGTGTGGAAGGACCAATGTTCATGAATTTTGTGAGTCACTCTTATCCATGAATTGACAACCCCATGAACAATTCTGTCAGCTAGCACATTTATTCATTTAATCTTCTGTATATATGAGTTACCCAGGAAAAGTACATCCCCAAGAACCACACATTTTTACTGGCCCTTGAACATGAACCCCAAAACCCCCATAGATTAAAATGATTCCTTATTATTTTGTGTTTTACTATGTCAGTCTATATGCATAATTAAAATGATAAAAAAAATATTCATATATCTTGGAAATAAGTGAATTTATTGAAAAACATTCATATCTGTGTACAAATTGTGCCATGGGTCTCAGAGAAATTTCTAAAAACTTAAAAGCTGAAAAGTATAAAATGTATATCTGTCCATTGTTCAATATTTCTTTAGTAAAGGAAATATTTGGTATCAATATCCCAACCTTTCAATGTTTGAAAAATTTCTTTATCACTGTAAAACTAATTTAAAACCAAAGTTTGCATACTTTTCTTTTGAGTAACCAAAAATGTCTTTCCATTTTTCACATGCTTACAGTTAAACATCGATGCAGATAAGTGCATGGAATCTTTTTGAGATACCTATTGGAGATCAAAATTTCCCTATACATATTAAAATTACTTATGACAAATTGACCGATTGATTTGAATTTATATAATTTCACATAATGAATTACTAAAACTAATTAATGAACATAAAGACTATGCAATGACAAGTGAAGAAAATGTGACATCATTTTAAGTGTAAATCAATTATTCTTGAATTGAAAAATATTTTACACGTTTTTCTGTACAAGAAACTTTAAAAGTCTTTGGACACAGAATGTTTGTGACTGAACAAAACAGGGGGGAATACACAAATAAAATGTACCAAACTAGGATGTTATTGTCACTGGGTTTACAACCAGTAGTTCCTAACAATACAAGAATAAACAAGACCTAAACTCCTGAACACTCACACAATGACAAATGTAGGTACAGAATAAAACAAGGACCATGATTCTACCAAATGACAATGGTATGCACTAAAGGCAAAGGTTTGCCTATGTAAATTATGTACAATTTATGTCTATTTTGTAAAATGAATGGATCATCAGCACTCAAAATTAATGAAATCCTAAATAAAAGATTAGAATTGGCAGAGAATTCTACCATAATGGCCCATGTGCCACATTCTATAAAATTTATATAACTGGTATTTTAAATCAGCCAGTGGTCAACCTTCTTGAAGAATACTAGTTTCAAATGCTATCCACATAGCAGATAGATTGTAATTGAGGTCTCCAGCTGATTCATGACCTACTCCTACTTCGTCGTCTGCTTCTACTTCCACTCCGACTTCTTCGTCTGCCTCTAGGACTCTCACTACGTCCTCTACTTCTGCTACGCTGCCTACTTCGACTTCTGCTGCGCTTCCTGCCTCTGCTTCCACTTCTGCTCCGTCCTCTACTCCCACTTCTGCTTCGCTTTCTGCCTCTGCTTCCACTTCTGCTGCGCTTTCTGCCTCTGCTTCCACTCCTACTGCGCCTCCTACTTCCACTTCTGCTGCGCTTTCTGCCTCTGCTTCCACTTCTGCTGCGCCTCCTACTTCTACTTCTGCTTCTAGAACTAGAACTCCTCCCTCTTCTTCGACTGCGACTTCTAGACCTAACAAGGATATAAATGTAAAAAAATTTCACTATCAGCAAGATTCATGAAGAGTCTAGATTGGATAAGATTTTCCATGATGTTTGATGTGATCAGAAAACATCATAACCAAAACTATGATACACCATGCCCTAGAATAACCCCAACTGACAGTCTTAAATTAGATATGCATGCAGGAAGACAATAATAAACATTTTCTGCATGAAGTAAACAAATCGATAGGAGGCAGATCAAATGTATGTATATTTGATTCTTTTTCTGCTTGCAGTTTGATAACAAGATTTTTATAATCTGTGAAAATGTTGATCATCTGATTTCTACATGGCAGAACAATGAGATAAAGCTTTCTAATGAATGTACCTCTGCCTGGACCTGATTGGAGAGCGTCTTCTGGATCGACTCCTTGACCTACTTCTACGTCGAGGGGACGGTCTTCTCCTTATTGGAGACCTGTATCGATAGGGAGGGGCTCGTCTACGTGGAGAAATAGATCGTCTGAAAGATGATCTTCTTGGGGATCTGGATCGTCTGGGTGAAATGGATCGTCTTCTTGATGTTGACCTTCTAGGTGACCTTCTTGATGTTGACCTTCTAGGTGACCTTCCTCTTCTCGGTGAAATTGATCTTCCTCTAGATGACCTTGACCTTCTAGGTGAACCTGACCTTCTCCTTGGTGAGATTGATCTCCTGATTGTTGGCTTTTTTGGACTTCTGGATCGATTTGCTGATGATCTTCTTGGTTGAGGACTACTAGACCTTCTTTTTCCCAACCCTGGTGACCTTAGAGAATTCCTATTAGATCTTAAGGGAGATTTTGATGATTGCTTCCTGTAGAAAAAAAAATCAATCAAATCAATAGAATAAATAACATAGGAAAGGTGTACGAAACAGATTTTGAACCACACACATAAGAAATATAGACTTGTACCTTTCAGGTGACCTCTGTTTGGTCTTGGAGGATTTGGGTGACCTTGACCTGCTAGATCTGTCAGATGAGGAGGATTTGGAGCTTTTTGATCTTGTCCTTCGTGTGGCTATTTCCACCTTTGATTTAGACACATTGACACTGGAAAGAAAATTACAAAAAGTAAAATGAAAGCCACATCTAAGGGTCGTGGTGTCTAGATGTTACGTTCATATCGTTAACAGAAATAATGTACCAATTTTGGCTGAGTCAATAGTCAATACTAAGCAAATCTCAATATATCAACTGAGTTGTGCACCTACTTTCCATTTGTCTTATCTATGTGACAAAATATTTTGGTTATGATCATAAACAACTGGAGTGCAGCACACAACGAGTTGAAATAAAAATTGAACTAAAATTTAGTATGAAGAACTCACATTAAAAGATTTATACTCTACACATAACAACTTATTAACTGCTCATTTTATTTTACTTTATTTATCACTCACTTAAAATCTTTGATTCTTTCATCAAGAGTAGACTTGGCCTCCTTTGGTTTTTCTGGTGATTTTTCAGGCACTGCTGGGATAGGAATATCCAACATACTCGTTAACACCTTACTGAATCCCGCTGATTGCTGATTGGTTGATGAGTTCGGAGGTTGGCTGATCTTACTCTCACTCTTGCCGTACAAGAACTTGCTGGTAGGTGATGGAGAACGTGAGCTGGATCTACCGGAGCTAGATGAAGACGACCTTGAAGAAGAACGTCTAGATTTACGTGGACTAGGCAGCTTTTTATCCACTGGGGGAGGACTGGACTTATTTTCACTCAAATTCCTTTTTTGGTCAGTTGTCTGCATGTCCCATCTGTTGCTCCTTCTGTAAAGTAAAACAACATTGGTCTCAATCTTCGTTAGTTTAACATTAGATTAGGAAACCTTTTGTATGAGTGATTTATGTGGAGTACCTGGCTAGTTCTGACGTGGCCTCTGCTACCTGTCCCAGTGGAGGCAGAGGTGGAGTTTTGATCCTTAATGATGTCCTCACACTCTCTTCTTTTGTTTCTGTATGAGAAGCCTACCAACAAACAGCGAAAATATTAACCTAGCTTGCAAACCTAAAATATATTATTATTGTAGAACACATTTTTTTTTTTATCAGACATGAAATATATGTAAATTTTTGCATTCAAATTACTTAGAAGTGCAATACCCTTTGTCTGGGCTTAAACTCTTCTTCAGGTTCTGGGGGTGGCTGCCACTTAAACCTTTCCTGTGTAAGGAAATCATCATGTTAATGAAATCATTATGTTCATAACTATCAAACATCTGCTCTCAAAAGATGTACTTCAGTTTTTAGAGTTGAGTTTAGGTCTACATTTAGTAAAGTCAAAATATTACATGCATTAATTATGTGCTATTATTTTTCTTTCTACTAACATGTCCAAGTTTTATCATTATCTGAGGTAAATAACAGATTAAGAATGAACTGAGTGTCACAAAGCATGTAAATCACTTTTCTTATCTACTTTACTGAAAACCTTCAAAAGTTCAAAGCCTTATATTATCCCTACTTTGTCACTGCATTAGTTAAATACCTCAACTTTCTTTTCTTTCTTTCGTTCTTCAGCATTACCATCATCATCAGATTCACCTGAACTCGATGAAGAACTTCGTGAATCGTCTGACCTTGACCTAGATCTGCTAGAGGATGATGACCTTGACCGCCTCTGTTTGGAATCATTTAATGACTTGACTGGGTGGGCCTTGATGGGTACCTCCTTCTTCTCCAAGTCGTACTGTATTCTACTTTGCTGCAGAACTTCCGTGGGTCTGTTTGGATGATCAGATCCTCGCTTGTCTGGAGATCTTCTGCTGTCATTTTTAAAATCATTTTCCCGGATCTCTCTTCGCACTTCCAGGTTTTCTCGTCTAGGTGGACTATACTTAGAACTGTTTAGTCCACCATTAACTCTTGATGAATTTGACTGATCCCTAATAAGCAAACAAGTTTTCATTTCAATTACAGGTCACTACACAGAAGACCAATGACTTCTGTAATAAAAAAAATCACAACATATATATATATCTATATATTAAAAATATATCTATTAAATTAATAAAATATATATATATCTATATATCAAAAATTATATATCATATATTAATATATATCAATATATATCACATATATCTGTGTGATTTTAACTTCGTTGAAAAAACAATCGCATAAAATTTTCAATGTATGAAAAATTACAACACTTGACTAAAAGCTTTTTCAGAAGTATTATTTTTTATCCATTGCAAGTCCAAAAAACTAATTTTGAAATTCAATTTTTAATTTATGATGAGTGCTATTAACTGTTGTTTGAGTCTGAACTCAGGATAAGACTAACTGATTTTCTGTGTGAGTCTTTAAGTTCATAGTCTAGGACAAGTGTTACATTTACCTATTGCGTGAGTCTGAACTCAGTGACTTCGTTTATAATTTACCAGGTTTAACCAATGTGTTCAACACACGGGACCCATAGGTCTCTGATTTCTTCTTTATAAATCTAGAAATAAAGTTTGTAGTAAAACCATACAAATTTTGCTTGAAAAGCTTTTCAGATAAGTATTAATTTTTGTAAGCTATTTGTGACATTCAAAAATTAAGATTAATTTTGAAATGAAATTCAGAATAGCACAATTAAATTAAGAGTATATGTTTAAATGCATATTTGGTATTGTGAAATTGAAGATGAAAAGTAACAAAACTTGACAAGCCTACCTTCCAGGTGGAGGTCTTCTCTCTAGACTTGGTGACCTTGAACTTGATTTACTTCTACTTGAACTGTATCTTCTCCTGGCTTTACTCCTAGAATCTGACCTTGACCTTCTACGTGTCCTCTCTTTTGACCTTGATCTTTTATCTGAATCTTCTGAGCTGTAACAAGTTAAAAAGGTTTTGTAAATGTAAATAAGAATTTATCTTCAATCAATCTAACACGGCAAGAACTAAATAATGATTATCCCAGGTAAAATATTACATATAGTTGACTCTATATGTTATCTGTGTGTTAACTACTATTTTTTCTAAATCTCTGTTGTCTGTCTTGCCATTTTCGAGTATATGTTATTATTTTTACCTTGACCTCTTTCGTCTGTCGTGAGCCACTGACCTCTGAGGACCTGGTCTGGACTCGACTCTCCTGCCATCTCGCTCCGAGTCCCTCCTCCTCTCTCTGAAATCATCTGGAGATCTACAACATCCAATTCAATTCAACTCATGATAGGTCAATTAAATTTTTTATGTGTTAAATAAAAATTAAACCAAAGAAAAAAATTAAATGTAGGTAGTGCAATCAGTATATTATCAAGGTCATCTAGGTGACAGATCATCCAAGTCACTCAGGTAACAGGTCATCTAGGTCAATCAGGTAACAGGTCATCCAGGTCACAGGTCATCTAGGTAACAAAGGTGACAGGTCATCTAAGTCACAAAGGTGTCAGGTTATCTAAGTCACTAAGGTAACAGGTCATCTAGGTCACCCAGGTGACAGGTCATCTAGGTCAATCAGGTAACGGGTCATCTAGATCACTCAGGTAACAGGTCATCTAGATCACTCAGTTAACAGGTCATGAAGGCCACACGGGCAACAGATCAACTTGGTCACTTAGGAGGTATTATGAAAGACCATAATGTTATACATAGAAATAAACTTTGTACCTGCTCCTGTTTTTGTAACCCGACTTCTCCCTGTCCCTCTGTCTGGGCGGGGAGGAATCAGAATCAGAAACTTCCCCCTCAGAGGAGGGGCTTCTCTCTTTCTTCCTCCTTTCCTCCACACTGTCCTTCCTCCTGTTACCCGCCCTGTCTGGCCTCCTATTTGTCCCTCTGTCTTTCTCTCTATCACTGTCTGGCCTTCTATTCATCCCTCTGTCTTTCTCTCTATCCGTGTCCCTGTCCTGTCTTCTATTTGTCCCTCTGTCACTCTCTCTGTCTCGGTGTCTATCAGGGGACCGGTCCTCCCTCGCTGATTCCTTTCTTTCCCTTCTCTTATCAGATCTGTCTTGTCTGGACTTCTTATCATCTTCCATTCTCTCTGGTTTGTCTTCCCTGATAATGTAATGTATATATAACAATGTACTTTATTGTGATATTATTTTACAGAATTTCTTTACTTATTTTGATAAAGAGGGAAAAAATTCTTCATTATCAAATGCAAACTTATTTAAAGTTTGCTTTTATACATGTATGATTATCAATTCTGAATTTTAGGCACATGAAAAAAAAAATATTAAAATTTTTGAAACACATCATCATGTCCCATCTAACCTTTACATACCATCTTGAACTACATATAGTTTTTAACAAATCTGACAACTTCTTTCTTGTGAAGTTCCAAAATAAAATGCTTCCGAAATTTCAAAAGTCCGAATCCTCCTTTAACCAAACCTTAAAACCTTTTAACCATTATAGATAAATGTTTAACCTCCTCCTCCTGGCCTCTTGATTGTTCTCTTGTATGTGCCTCTCCCTCATTGGTTGCCTGTCCCTCCGGTCAGTCATTCTGTCCCCCATCGCCCACCTCTCTTCTCTCCCTTGATCCTCCCCTGGGTAAGGCTGCTGCTGCTGTTGTTGTTGCTGGTTAGATCGTAGTCGGGTTTCCACGGCTTGCCTCCAGTGAGGTGGTGTCTCACTTCTACTCCTACTTCTATATCTCTGTAATTATCAATGATAATAAATGCGTTACTTAGATTCATACATATACTAAAATCAGTCTCCTTTGGTATGTTTCCAACTTCCCCAAAAATTCTGGAGTCACATAACTTGAAACTCTATAATTTTATTTTATACACATGTACTCTCTTTGCAAACTTTTTAAAAAAAAATTGTAACAGTACTGTAGATCACTGAATTTTTGTGACACTTTCATTTCACGACATCGCCATTTGGCATTTACCAGCTAGACATAATTTTCACAAACTCTGGTTATGGTTCTAAATTATCTTTGTTTTACAAATACATGTATACATGAAAATTAAATTTACGTGAAAAACAGTCTTTCAAAATTACAAAATAAATGAAGTTTCTGCAAAAAAAAGTATTTTACAGTCCTTTTGAGGCTGATGGGGAAGATAAAAACTTTTTAATTCAGAGACTAACCAATGTGCCACGGCCTTTAATTTTTCTCCCACTGGCTGTAAATTTGGGCTTGTTTCCATAGGGAATCCTATCAATTCTCCGCCGGTTGCCATAGCCTGGTGGAGACTTCTCTCTGTAGTCAATAAACATGAATCATATAAAGTACCATCACAAAAACCAAAACAAAAAATAACACAAAAATTCAGCAAAAAGCATTTTAAAATAATTAAAATTGTTTTCTCTAAATTTTGTAAAAATCTGATTTTTCACTTCTTCAAGTGGTCTATGATTTTTTTTTTTTTTTAATATACAATTAAATTGAATTCATCTATTACAGTTCATAATTTGAATGTTTAGAAGTACTCCAATTTTAGTAGCAGTGATAGATAGATGTTTGAATACTTTTCCATTTCCTCCTCTCTGTTGACCCTGCTTAAGAACTTCTGCTGAGGGACGTCGGGAATTTCATCCGGACGAATCTGAGCGAACACTGTGGTGATTTCTTCTTCCTTCTGCTCGTTCTTTGCACTAAATACCAGAAACAGCATTACAATTTTAATCTGTTTATCTATGAGAAAATTCACAATGAATACACAGTTGAACTTACTAGGAATATCAGGTGAACATCAATATTTAATAGAGAATTGTACTAATATGAAAGCCTCAAACCCACTTTATAAGGATACACTTACATTTTCATTTGCAGAAAAAAAATATTCATATGTTCAGCACTGAATTTATAAATATAAAGCAGTTTTAAAGTCATTTTGAACATTACTTTTACCAATGAAAAAGATTTAATTCTTGAAGATCTAATCAAGAACATGGATTTTCTTTATTTGCTTGATGCTGCATAATTATGAGATGAAAAAAAAAATTCGAGACATAAGGTCTGAGTTAGATTCACTGTAGTTGTACATTAAATAACTTGAAAAGGATAAAATGTCTTTGTGTACCTTTCCTCTTCTTTTTTTCTTTTCTTGTGCTTCTTCTTTTTGGATTCTTTTTTATGTTTCTTCTTTTTCTTTTTCGTTTTCTCCATTTCTGAAGATGACTCATCTGAATCACCAGAACTCTTGGCTTCAGACTCCGAGTGTTTCTTTCTCTTTTTAGCTAGTCATCGAGAAAAAAGGTAATTGTAAAAGGGAATACTATGAAGCCATAATCATACGCCCTCAATACCCAAGTTTAATCTGATAATGAAATGAGGAAATATAGAGTTATATTTATGGGATAAATAATGACCCAATGTACTGACTTTGCATATTTGTACAATGTAAATTCATTAATTATGATATTTTTTTTAAATAAAATAGGAAAACATTCTTTTTAATTTTTTTTCCTGTAAAAGATCATGATAAGAAATTTTACTGCTGACCTCAAAATGACACACATATTTTATTGCTATTTTCAGTTGGTTATATGTAATTTAAAATTTTAAAATTCTGGTTAAGCACATTATCAATAAATAATAAAGCACATTTATTAATATACTGTTCTTTTAGAAATTTGTGCAAATATTAACCATAGAAAGCTTACCAGCATAATTATGCAATGCATTTTGGCAGAGAAATGTAAAGTATCATTTTTGTTATTAGTGATGAAAATAGAAAAATGCAGATACAAGAAGGGCAGTATAACTGTCTTTTTCTTCACAAAACTAATTTATTCATGAATAGTTCTTCACAGCTTAATATTTATGAATAATTGTGTTATTCTGTACATAGATACCTTTTGAAAATTTCAGCAATCAAGCGCTAAATCAAACTCTAATATGTACCTTTGGCTTTTACTTGAAGAACTAATTCTCCACAGTTGGCAATTTTCACATCCACTTTTGGACGACTTTTTTCATCCGTCTCTAAGTTCTCTATCTTGGTGACCACCTCTTGACCAAAGATCACATGTCCAAAGACTGTATGCTTGCTAAAATCATAAATATCAATTACTGTAAAAGCACAAATATTCGTGGGGGATTAAATTTCGTTTATTTCGTTGTTAACAATTATCAACGAAATTAAATCCCACACGAAATTTTTTATGACTATATATTGAATGGAATTACTCTCAAAACAACGAAATTAAATGCCCACGAAACTATTTTTGATGACAAATCAACGAAATTTTATCCCCACGAAAATTTCTGCTTCTACAGTAGATTATAAAATTAATCTTTGATATAAAACAAATGATGATTTTATACTAGCTTCATCATTTATGCATTAACAAAAGGAAGCACTTCAAGTGTAGTTTTAAAAACTGAATAATATAAAAATTTCCTTTAAAAAAAGGTATAAAAACTTACTTATCAAGATGTGGTGCAGGTTTCGTTGTTCTAAAAAGAAAATGCAAATTGTTAAATCCCAAGGAAGAAAAAATTAACCACTGATTACGCAAAAAACTAACTAAATTGTTGTACATATGCATGTTTCTTTAAACTATCACAGATGCTTTGTATACTGCTTAATGAATACTTATTGTTAATTTATACATCTTTATAATAACAGGATTACTGTTATTATCTTAAACAAAGAATAAAGAGCAAAAAAAGAATAATTTTTCAGGGTTTAAACTTCACTGAAATTTCCACGAGCATGTGGGCTCCTGACATTTCAAAATTAGGAGCCCACTGCTAGATTTGTTAGCCCATGGGACACAGACTGTAATTTTTTAAAAAGGGACAAAAAGTAGATACAAATTAATAAAATACATATATAAATTCATCTGTTTAAAATTGTTCTTACTTTATAAAAATCAAATGTCATTTAAATATTTACTTTAAGGAAATAACAATTAAATTCAATCAATACTTTTACTATCCTTTTTTTTTTTTTTTTTTTTTTTGTGTGGTTCCATGCTTGTTTGAGTGCCACATGGTAATACATGAAAACGTAGCCCACCTTCATGTATATTTGCTTCTTCAACTGATGAAGTGACAATGACACAATAAGATTTTCTAGGTTAAATTTATAAACTAAAACAGATCTGAAATAAGTGAAAAAACTTACTATTCACAACATTGCGTAGTTAGGAGTTATTTAAATTGTATATCTCTCGCGTATCAAGCATTTACAAAGGGTTGGAGGAAATTCAGATTAGGAAAAAAGACGATCGTTTTTTGGATTTCACAAATCATGTAGTACTTCAAATGGAAAAGATGAAGGATATTTACGAACAATAGGACCATGCTGCTGTGATTTATTTCATTGTTCTGTAGTTTTGAATCAAAAACCTGTGTAAAATGTCTATTTTTCAGTACGGGGACTGGGAATTAATTCAGCACCCTGCAGAATTTTTATTCGCCACATGGGCGAGCAAGTTATAAATTTTATGAGCCCACACCAATTTTTACTTGCAATTTGCGAGTGGGCGAGCGTTAAGTTTAAACCCTGTTTTTATGATTTCAATACCACTGTTATAAAATAATACTTACATAAAAAATTGGGAGCCATTTGTGTCTTTACCACGATTTGCCATGGACAGAAGGAATTCTTTGTCATGTTTCAACACAAAATTCTCATCTAAGAAAACATAAAATAGACAATTCAGAGAAAAAATTAGAAAAGATTTCAGAAGGAATAAGAGATGATGTTATTGCAGAGGATAATACCATAATCCACAATTTTAAATTATAATTGTAAAATAGAAATAAATTAATGACCTTACTTTTCAATGTAAAAACCAGGATTCTGAGCAATTTTCACATTGAAATTCAATCTCAGACTTAGTCCTTTAGTTAACTTATCATCCTAACAGAACATGAGGTAGACAAATTTGGTGATATCTACATATTTCTTATACCCTCACATTCCCACTATTATTACCTTTGTCTGACCAGGATATAATTATACACTTTTTCTAAATATAAACCCTGATAACTTACCTGGGAACATCCCTCCATATATGGACTCTCCCCCGGTTCCATCACCTGTAAAAGTGTATGTTTATAATGATTTTTAGGTGTATAGTGTATCAGGGATTAATCTAGGGCATATTTACTACCGATATTCTGTGTTTTTCCCCTTAGAGAAAATTTCCCCTGAAGATTTTATTTTCCCCTTTTGAGGAGTAATATATTCCCTTTACAATAATAAAAACCTCAAATATTTTTTCTTCCTTCATACAGACTGAAAATTTAAAGTAAAATTTTTCAGTATATGAGAAATATGGTTTACTTTGCTACTTTATGCACTTAAAATGGTCATAAAAATGCTGAAATTCAATTCCCCCCCCCCCCCCAAGCAGGGCCTGTCTTGCACTCACTGGAGTGGTTTCCAGACCTCGGTTGATTTTCCCAATTTCTACAGAAAGGGTAGTTTCCCCAAAAACCTAGATTAAACCCTGTATATAAACATTCTCAGGTAAATAACATACACCCTCAGGTATATAATATATGACCAATCTTAGGTGTATATTACACAAAACTCTCAGGATATAATATATAAATATTCTCAGATATATAATATACAAACAGAAATAATGATTTTATCAATGATTTCAACTAGAACATTAAATCTACAGGGACTATTTAGGAACCAGTATCTGATATATTTCATATGCAAGCAATTTCTCTATTCAATTCTCTGAAATCATGAATCAATCACTCCATCCAGACAATACACTTCTTTTAAACAAAGTTCATCCTATTACAAGGGCTTGAGTATTAAATAATAAGAGCAAAATTAGAAAAATAAGTTCTTTTCTCTCATTCAAAATATCAGTAAAATTACCTCTGGTGAAATCGCCTGATTGTATCATAAAGTCCTTCACCACACGATGGACCGGGGCTCCCTTGTAGTGAAGAGGTACCTCAGACTTCTGTCCAACTCCTTTCTCTCCTATGTACAAATATCATGGTGAATTTTATTAAATACTTACTGAATAGGTACAGATATATTTTATGCTTTGTCAAGTACAAAATTTCTAAGAAATCATCATACTAAATGGCAACACTTTTTTCACCTGTGCATAATGATCGGAAATTTTCACAAGTTTTGGGGCAAACATCAGCAAATAACTCGAACACAATTCTTCCTTCTACAAAAGAGAAAATCTCACTGTACTGAATATACTAAAGCCTTTTTTTTTTAAAAATACAAAACTGTTGAACATGCTGGTTTAAATTATGTTTATATATCAAATTGGCTGTGTTGAAATAGAAATGTGTCACAATGCAGTACATTTAACCACAATGATATTGTTGTCTATTAAAAACACACGAATGAAATAGGAAAACACACAAGAATTCTACTAACATTTTTCAGTGAGTACATTTACCTCTAAAAAAAATTAAACTTTTAAAATTTGCTTTGCAAGGCAAGCATCAAGAATAAACACTTATTGTGACAGTTATTCAAGATAGATGTGTTTAAGTTACAAACAATTTTAATTTATCAGTTTATGGTAAGTAGTTTAGTCCCTTTACCGGACTTTCCATCGATCTCGATGTCTAGGAAGCATCGTGGTTTATAACCCGCTGATGTGGTCATCCTAAAAATAAAATTCAGCTTTTACTTTTACTGCAGTCCTAAAAATAAAATGAATGAAATTGTACATTAAGCCTTTGTCCCCAACAAAACAGTCAAGAAATAACAAAAAATATTTTTTTTCTTTTTTTTGGGGGGGGGGTGTTTTTTAACTTGGCTAAAATCAGAGACAAAAAATCTAATCATAATAAGTTAAGCCTGTTAATAAACATGATAAAAAACACTATTTGCACAAAAACCTGGTTTCCTTATAATACTGTGCTTTCATCAGTTCTGTACATTCATTTTCAATTTTTTACTTTCCCTTCTGGATTGTGAATACTAGGCGATTTCTTTCTTTTTTAAATTGAAAATCACACCTTGGAAATGCCAAAGTTTTATTTCATGTCACATTTGAGCTTGTCTATTTAAAAACGTAATATATTCCCTTATAAATGGTAAAAGATATTCATAATCAAATAGAAATGATGGGGAATCAAACTAAGTCGAGAAAGCATGAAAATGCAAACACAATCAGTTCGAATTTTCTCCGAAAACGCCGCTATTTACTTCAGGAATATTTGCAGCATATTTATTTCTCAAATCGTTACATATATTTTATCAAAATTAAAGCATTCTTCCACTTGTCTACAAATCGAACATACTTGCAATTGAACAATATTTCTTTGAAAACCTTGCAATCTTTTTTTCTTACCCTCCACAATGATTCGATGCGGCAGATCAGAGTTAACTGCTCTTGACTTTTCTATAATTTAGAACCATTCCGGATATTTTACTTTCCGTAATATTTTGCACTGAAAAGACAAGATGTCAATAATTACATTGATACAAATAAACAAACAACCCCATATTTCAACAATATTGAACAGAGAGACAAACAAGACAAGTTATCATGTTGTAAATTTTGCATTTATAAATTTTGCATGCAAGTAATATCCCCCCCCCCCGGTAGTTGTAAATTTACAACGCGATACTTATCAAAGTTTAGTTATGTTTTCTTGTTTATTTACATCAAAATAATAAAACGATGTCCGATAGCTTGATGTTATGATTAATTAAATAAAGTATTTCCACGGGTGCTTGTGGAACCCCCCACCCCCACCCCCGTATTCCCAACCCAAGATTTAAGGATTTTTTTTAATATAGTACACATTACAAAATTTAAATTGACAGGAGATCATGGAAGATAGACATCACAATTAATTAATTGAAGAACGATACAATTAAATAATAAAAAATAAAAGGTAGATGTATTTGAATCAATGATAGGTAACACTGAATTTAACATGTACCTTTTTCCAAATCTTTTGTGTGCACGAGAACGCAGACTGATTTAATTTTGCGCACAGCTTTTATCTTGGCTTGTGAAATCAAGTTGTAAAAAATGATCTGTTCTACATGTGGAAACTGTACTGTGATCCATCATGGATTAACGAACCCAAGATTATAGATTGTATACTGAAAATCGGTGATACTTGTGCTTTGTCAGACATCGTCAAATTATCTAGTTAACACACCTATTGACATACCGGTAAATAATTCCCCAAGAGGACAGACCTACAAATTTTTAAAGATTTGTAGTTTAAAGAATATAAATATATTGCTAAAAAAGTAATGTTTGAAAATTTCGGACTTCAAATCATCTACCAATAGAATCTGGAAGTTAATGAGGAAGAACTTCCGACATACAATCTATCTAAAGATATGAGATATCGAACGGTAAAAATGGGGAGAAAAAGTAATGGGGGCTTTCTGAAAACATTTTCATGTATGTATTCAATATACCAGAGTTTGGGATATCGAAGTTCAACTGTAAACATGTACTAGTATATCATGAAAAAAATGAGATATATTTTAATTAGCCGACCAAGGATCCATTATGAAGACAAATCAATTCACAAGACATGGGAATGTTTGCAAGTCAATGGTCCTATAGAAATATTTGTTTATAACATCCCTTTTTTGGCCTCTTCTTGGATATCTCTCTTTAGATGAAGGAATAGACCTTCATTTGTACAAATTAGAATTTCATTAACCCAAGGATGCTTTGTACCAACTTTCAATTTGGTTATAATTGGCCTAAAGGTTCTGAAAAATAAGTAAAACATTTGAAGTTTACAATAGATGGACAGACAGACAATAGCTGTGTCCTTGAACTTTCAGCCAAGGAAAGCTAATAAACTTATCTCCCTTTGTTTAAGGGTCACATACTATTTTTAGGTCATATGAGGCACTCAGGTGACCTATTGCTATTTCTTTTTTGGAAACTTTTGAAAATTTTCAGCTTCTCCTCTGAAACCACTGAAGCAATTTCAACCAAATGTGGCATATATAGCATCTAGGGGAACAAAAATGATAAATTTCATTGTCCATGCCCCCCCCCCCCTCCACCGGAGACCACTAAAATTAATGCAATCTTTAAATAAATTCTCCTTTAGTCCTGGAAATCTAGCAGTCAAACTGTTGGCATTATTGTAATAAGTACTGTGTCCTCTACCAAAATTGTGAATTTCATGGCCCCCGAGGGGTTCTAGGGCTCTGTTGATTACATACTAAAAATGGATTAATTCTTTGAAAATATTCTTTTCTGCTATTGGGCATTAAACAAACTTAAAATATAGCTATGGTATGCAAGGGTGCCTCTTCCAAAATTGTCAAGGGTTCTGCTGTTAGGACAGGGCTTTATTGATTATATATAGTGAAAATGCATTAATTCTTTTAAAATCTTCTCTTGCTCTTGGTTGTTAAACAAATTAACTACATACATAGACATGGTGAGCAAGGGTGCCTCTTCCAGTATTGTTAATTTCAAGGCCCCTGCATCAGGAGTACTGTAGAAGGGGGGTCTATTGATTAAATACTGAAATTAAGAATGTTTTGAAGTCTGCTCCTTGGTATTGACCAAGCAATTAGGATGAGCTAGGGTGCCTTTTACAAAATTTTGAAATGTATGACCCCAGGGTCTGGGGTTCCTGTGGGGTAGGGAAACTACTGGTCAGTGGTGATTTTTAATGATTAGTTTAATTGATTCTTCTTTGTTCCATTACTTTGCCTATGGGTAATAAGTAACCAAACTAAGCATGCCAAGTGTATAGTTAAGATGTGCAATTGTGCCTCTTTCCAAATTGTGAATGTAATGACCTCTGGTTTCAAACATGAACCAAATTCAACTATTGAAAAGTTGTTATATGATGCTCAAGTGACTTATAAGGCCCATGGGCCTATTGTTAGTAAGAAATTAAAGCTCTTTGCCCATGCAAGTCGTAACTGACCAAGGGGTTCTTGAGATAGTGGTATGGCCCACATGTCAGAAACTTTATGCACACCAAACAAATGGCCATAGCATTAGCTCCATGAGTCTACAGCCCAGAATAGCTACAAATGGCAAAAGTAGTCATTTTTGAATTGTATTAGAATTTTATTGAATCATATTTTGACATGTAAATGTAACATATATATAATTGATAAACAAACACAATATATTTCACTAACATTTTACTCATCGTTTTAAAATTTCTTTTCAAAATATAAGGAAAATCACAGAGAATGCAGTGATAAGATTCTTGGGGGGAAAAACTTGCAAAGATAAAACATTCTGCATTTTCAGTGATGCTTCTGTACATATTGTATAATAATGTAACTAAAATCACTAACGTCAAAGTGAAAATGTTGAAAATGCATGAAAATACAGTATGTACATTAAGTAAAAATGTATTACGCCTCGTGTAATAGCACTTAAAAAAAGTAGGTCAATATCATGTAACAACCATTCATAATAATCTCAACATCAATAAAAATCTGTAGAATGTATAAAAATACAGTGATGCACCAAATGTTGCAAAATGAGATTCAAAACCTCTAAAATATACACTAACCTTTTAAAATAATCTCTTAACAAAATGGACAGAGGCATATATAAATCTAATTCAGATATAGAGAAAATCTCCTATCTATAACTGAATTAATACCTAAATTAATATTTTTTTGTGTGTGTAAATAGTAACCATTTCACGAGAACTCAAAGTCTGAGTTAATGCTATTTTAAGAAGCAACTATTGTATTCAGACTCTGGTCAAAATATTCAAATCTACTCAAGAAATGGTCATGTTAAGCACCAAACCTGCCTCTCTGACAATCTATAATTTCAAACGAAGAAAGTAAAACCTTATCCATAATTGTGAATCATATATTTATGTACTTCAGTAACTGCTAAGCTGCTGAAGGGAGCTAATTGTTTGACATTTACCCTGTTCATTCAATGTGTCAAATTTCTCACATACCCTGTTTGCAATTTTCAGAAATAACTACATGCAATAGATATTTCAGATATTTGAGCACTTTTACCACCTTCTTAAATAAATGCAGTATATACTGCATGTTAATTTCCAAAACAAATAAAATCTAATGAATACTATTTCGAGGTTTAAAAATCTGTGCAGATACTATAACAAAAGCATTATTTTATTCCTTTACTGAAAATTTCCCCCTCTATACGAAAAGAATCCCTTTTTAATGCTGCCCTTAGAAGAGATCAACACCTGATGAATAGAAATGTGTACCATGTACAGTTAAGTTTACAAAATACTGTCACAAATCTCTGGCATATCTCATTCAAGATTCAGGAATTCACAAACATATCCTGTCAATACCAATAACTGTCTATACATATGAAGCACTTTAAAGGCAGAAAATACTTGCTAATTCATGATATATATTTATGCTGATCAGGCTTGCAAAAAATTACACCCCTCCCATGTAATGTCATGAAACTATAGTATGAGGTTCATCTGCTCAAAGAAATATAAAATTACACATCTCTTCAGACACACACATTAAACATCTCTTTAGAAACAGAATTTTTCCGTTTCTTTCCGAGAAAAAAAAAGTTGAGTATTCATTTAGCAGTAAATTTGATCTTTGTTTTTGAGCCATTTATTGATGAGTACTACTATAAATGTGTTTGAAAAAAGGTGTTTGAAATAAAAAGGGTAAAAATAAATATTCCTTAAGGCACATTTCTGCAACACATAATCTCTTGTAAAGTTTTTTTTTACCATACACATGAATTCTTTAAATATCAAACAAGTGATCATAGAAGAGCATCATCAGTAAAACAATTCCAAAAAGGCACAAAATTGATGAAAAAAGCACTAATCTTCACTAAAAATGTACAATGAAAAATATACCATAAAATGTATGCAACTAATAAATGATAATAAAAAATTAATGAGATACATGTATAAATGTTAACATTTGATGACAACAAAATATACAGTTCACTGACTGTTGACAGTTACAACTGCCCAGTTTAATATTAAGAGACAAGACAAATGTCTTCAAAAATAACCAATCATAGACAATTGATCTTCAAAATGTCAACTGCACTAAAAAAATAAGAGAGAGATATGTACTCCCATAATTTGTCTTGGAAGACTCAATCAGCACCAAAACCATTTTGTCACTTTTCTTCAAGATGAAATGTATGTGAAAGACATCTTTTTTTGTGCAAAATATCAAGTTTTTGATGAATTTTCTCTCTCTTTCAACCCAGCACATTAAAATTTCCCGATTAGAAACCATTCTTATTTTGGCACTTTAAAAAGAAATTCTTTTGCATAAAAAAAGGAACTTTGAAACTGCCGTTAACAGTTTAATATGTACATCCTCTTCTAAAACCTAAACAAAAAAGATAAAGAAAATCTTCCATTCACTACAAAGCTGAAATCACTGTAATCTATTATAGCACTTATAAGAACACATTTTCCAAGAAAACACAACATATTTTCCCTTATTTAGTGAAGCTATCATCAGTGCCTCATGTTTAAATACTTATTTTCCTCTGCTAGCTGGGTTAATACAGAACTCATATCGTTGACCACCATGTTATTAGAACTCAGCAGAGACGCATTGTATCTAACAGACGACTGGGATGCTGAACGATGACTCATCGCAGTGGGCGTGCACACCTCTGAAATCGAACTCATGTTATCCAACAAGTTTTCTGAAGAAATTGAGTTAATGTTCTCCATGAATTCTTCAATGATAGGGGGTGGGGGATGCTGGGGTTGAGGGGGAGGGGGCGGGGCCTCTTTCCTGTCTGTAGAACTGGTCACCTGGTTACATCCTGGGGACATCTCCATCTGTGTTGGGTACCCAGGCTGTGGCATCAGCTGGTTGGGGTTGGGCTGGTTATTGGCCAGCTGTGGCTCCATATTCATGTTCTGCCTGTACATCATGTTTGGTGAATTCTGGGGGTACATTGGGGGACAGGGGGGCTGGGGCATTATGTTCCCTGTCTGATTCTGGTTATACATGCCCTGCTGCTGTTGTTGTTGCTGGTTGTTGTACATTTGCTGTTGGTGCTGGCGCATCACCATCTGATTCCTGCCCTTAGCCCGAGGTGGAATGTGAGATGTACTGATATGTGGCACCTGGACTTGAGGACTTTCAGATTCTCGTTTATTGATGGGAGGCTGGGGTTGATGCATCATGCCTCCCATGGGTTGTTGCATGGCGTTCTGAGATAACCCTTTGGGCATGTTTGGGGGGTGAGGCATGTTGACTTGAGATGGAAGGGAGTTGTTCATGAATTGCTGATTAGGTATTCCTTGGTTAGTATTGTTCATTGTGTTCCACTGGTTCATGTTCATATTTTGATTCATGTTCATTCGCATCATTTGTGGGTTCATATTTTGTTGCATAGTCCTGTACATTTGGTTTCCAGGGGAAGGTTGTGATATATTTCGATGTGGTAGATGTGAGTTCTGGTTATTAGACATGGGACCATTTGGAGGATGAGGCATGGGAACATTGGGTGGGTGGGGCATTGGTCCATTGGAAGACATGAGGGGGCCATTTTCATAATTAGAAGCATGGGGCATTCCAGTTTGCATCATATTTGAACCTTGAGGTATATTCTGAAGGTTTGCTTGAGTTCCTTGCAAATTATTAAATCCTTGATTACACACAGGATTCATGGGCATATTGCCACCCATAACTTGCATATTTTGGTTCTGCATAGTTTGCATCATATTTTGTTGCATATTGTTTTGATTCATATCACCACAGTTTTGTAATCTGGTGTTATTATTAAATTGTTGCATTCCATTGACATTGTTGTACATCATATCCTGATTATTGCCTTGATTTCCATAGTAACCACCATTGACCTGCATATTGGCGTCCATATCTCCTGGGAGGGGCGTGGTCTGGTTCAGGTCTTGAGTCATTATACTCGCCCTGGATGACGCCGCGACTTCCGTCTCAGCTATTGAGTTATCCAGGTGGTAATAATGCTCATTGAGGAAGCGCTGCATGTCGTCCGGAATCAACATATCCTCGTTATCGTCCATCATCTTCTCCAGGAGCTCCATCTCATTATCAAAATCAGCGCCATTCTCATACTCATCATTTTCCTGCACACTGTTATCGGTAGCTATGCTACTGCGTGAAGAATTAAACGTGCAGTTAGAGTCTGTTTTTGTCAGTAATGACTTCATGCTTTGTGGGACAGGTAGTGGTCTCATCATGTTGAGGCTGTGGAACCTCTGAAGGCGTTTGAGGGCACTGAAGTTTGGATCCAGTGTCCTGACCGGGTCACTAGCCCTCCTCCTCTCCTGATTGGGGATCTCATGAGGGAGGGGGGTCCTGCAGGGGGTACTTGTCCTAGCTCCATCAAGGTCATGCCTGGCCGATAAGAACCTCTGAACACGTTCTCGCGATTTGCTATGTGGGCTGCGTAATGTAATGGCTTGAGATTGCACTATGAGATTTGGGTGACTCCCCAAGTGAGTTTTTGAGAACTGGGCAGCCACATTGCTGATGTTGCTGTTGCTCGATTCACTTGAGCGACGACTATGACCTTGCTGCATGTGCATAGGTAGGTTTCCCGTGATATCATACTCGTAAGGTGAGTTTGTAATGCTGAGACGAGCAGATATCTGAGAAGCCTCACTCGAGCGTCGGCTGGAGAATTTGCTACCAGGATTGAACGGACTTGTTTCTGACCTCATGCTGGACATGTACGAGCTGATCGTGCTTGTGTTACTGTCGCGACGTCCAACTCCATATATATTTCCAGGAACAAGCTCATTACGATCTACAACAACAAAAGTATCTTATTCATGCTACATATTCACTTTTCAATGTTCTTGTTTGCATCCAACATAAATATGCACAACATTACATGTATCAATTGAAAAAAAAAAATTGTAGCTTTACTATAGTTTGTTCCAGCTTAACCGTTTGTAACTTAAACCCTGGGATATTTTGAAATTTACCTGCAGATATAACTTGTGCAATGTGATAATTGAGAACTTACTATTGAGATCTTGAGTAAGACGCTTGATCTGAGGATTTTTAAGGTGTAGTGCTTTAGTACTGAGGTCTGTGAACGGGGTCTGATTACACTGTTGGTTACCTGGAAATATAGAAATACAGGCATGTAATATAAATACAAGTAGATCTAAAAAGAGCCCAGTTAATATAAAGTGTTAAAAAAATCCTAGCCTTTTGTATCATTAAATTATCTTATGATTAACTAAATGGCATTTTCTGCAAATTGGTGATCCAAAATATCTGATACTATTTCATATGATAATAATTTTGTCAAATATTAAAATACACTTTATCTAAATATTTTAAATTTTAACATATGATATAACGTTTTATACAATACATGCCTCTACGTTTTTACGCATTCTTAAAAATAATAATTCAGTTTCAATTAATGCTTTTATTTACCGCACATGCTGTACGTAACGTCCTTTTTTTATTCATGAGTTCGTCTTTTTTTTAAGTTATTGATCAAATTTTAGTATATATATCTTGTGTAACTTTCCAAATTTCTGGGTTAGTTGGTAATTTAAAATCCTTCAGAGTGTTTGACTTTAGAGTATCCACTTTTTGTATGAAAAACCCCTACAGAAGAAAGTCCAATGGATTAAATCAGAGGGATGTATGGCCATGCAAACACAGTCTGTCCTTAACGAAATCAGTTCCTTAAAGAATGTTTTCTGTAACCATCCAGGAACTTATCCTGAGTCCTGATGTGTGTGTGTGTATGGGGGGGGGGTGCTCTATTTTGTTGGAAATGAATATCAGCAGTATGAATACCTTTCTTTGAGAGCTGGAATGAATTCGTTAATCAGAAGGTGCAAGTAATGGTCACTGTTAACAGTTTTCGCCTCTCCAACAACTGTGACAGATTAAACATTTCTGGTTGTCCGAAGCCTTCCATTGTTTTTAAACGGGCATCTTCTAGTGAACCAATCTTTTGAAATCTTTTCACTTACCTGAGTAACTGCAGTTTTGTTAGCTTAGTTTGTCCGATGAATGTCTTTTGTAATGACACGAATCTCTGTTATTTTGAAATGTTACCTGCAAATTATAATTGGGCAATTTTTGCAACTCCCTGATTTGATCTATCCATGTTAAATAACTAGTAACAAATTTATGACGTCATAACATCATGATAACATCAAATTTTTTCCGTATTTACAAATTTATCAAAATGATAGGTGTAGCGGTTTAAAATGATGTATAAATGAAATATGTTAATATAATTGACAAAATCCTAGTTATTGAAAGTCATTAAATAGTATTAACAGATATTTTGGATTGGTTGTATATCTACTTTTTCTTTATTGCAATATGAGGTATATTCTATGAATCAATTCAAAACAAGAAGATTTCAATTTTACTTTGCTAAGTCCTCTAGCTTTCTCCATTGATGCCCATGGAGTGGTTCAAAGACCTTTAGAAGCTTAGAAGTTAATAATGTCCACTTCAAGACAGATACATTTTACAAGAATTACCTGATGTAGATATCTGAGGTAGAGTTACTTTGCTTGGCAGGGTTTTTAACTTTTGCTGAAGGGTCCTAGTTGTGTTCAGCCTATTAGTTCTAGCAACAACTGCTGCTGTCCCATGAATCTGCAACAAAAAGTTGGAATAAAATGACCTTGGTTCTGTTTCAAACCCTGATACAGTGAAACCTGTCTAATCTGACAATCACTAGGAGACAATTTAAGTGTTTTGTTGGATATACAGGGTGCGAGATTTTACAGCATAGAGGACAATGAAAACAGTAAAATTGAAATTTACATTAAGGTTGGATTGACAATGAAATGGACAGGAGGACAGGACAGGTTACAGATTAGACCATTTTCACTGTACACTATACATCACTTTTACAAAACATAGATCTGATAATCAGATGTGACTAATGATAGAAAATACCTCAACGTCTTCCGACTCTGGAATGTCCTCCTCTTCCTCAAGGTCACCGTGCCTGTCAATCATGTGGGAGGTGTGGTCCTCAATGAGATCGGGCTGATTATTACACGTGACATTCACCTCGGGACTGCTGTCGGGGGAGGAATGGTGGTGGGGGCCCATCCCATTACCCCCCACACTGTCCTGAGATTGGCGCCGCTCTCCCCCCAGTGCATGGAGGGGGGTCACTGTCAGGCACTCCTCCACCTTCTTATGACTGTCGTCTTTTTTATCAGGGTCCTGTTCAAAACATTGTATATAAAAATTTAACAATCACTGTCAATAATTTCCAAGAATCTGGAAACTGTATATTTGCAAATAATTGTCTTCCGTTCTACCAATGACACTGAATTCAGACATAAATCAACCTTATCCAACTTGCCATAACTTTTTTTTCTGCTTAGCACAATTTTTTGCAAAAAAATTTCAAAACAGGTATATTTGCAATTCTACAGGGGAGTTTAAGACTTATTAAGAAATCTGTATGATAAACAACTGGTAGCAAATTTTAATTAAATTTATTTTTTCCTGCAATTAAATGTAGATGAAGATAAATAAGAGCCCTGTACCTGTTCCCCTTCTTCGCGCCTCTCCTGTTTACACGTCCCGTCTCCTTTGTGTTTTTTGTTGGCGTAGAACTCCGGACCATGGACAGTTTTAACATGCTTCCGTAGAGAGCTGGGGTCAGTATAACGTTTTGTACACCCTGGAGCCTTACATATGTAGGGTTTCTACAAGGTAGTCAAATTAATTTAGAAAAAATGTCTTTGCTGCTGAAATGTTTCATGCATGATTTAATAAGAGGTCAATAATTTGCTTTCTTTTCACCTTTACTTTCAATCTGTGATTGCTTATAAACTAAGTTAACTTTCTATCTTTTTCCACCTGCCTGTTAACAAACTTGGTAAGTAACTACAAGTACTGAGTAAGTACTGATGATTACTTAGATTACTTACAGCATTAGAGTGAGTCCTGTTCTGGTGCTTGGCGCGGTCCGAGGCGTTACTGAAGGCTTTGGTACAGCCAGGAAACTCACACATGTATGGCTTCTCACCTGTATGGGAGCGAAGGTGAGTCTTCAAGTTCTCCAGACGAGAGTAAGCTTTGTTACAGCCCTCAAACTAGGTATCAAAAGAAAGATCATCATGTAAGTACAAAAAAATCAGCTTGTAGAAACAAAAATAATATCATGATGTACATGTATGTACAAAAACAAAGATCATTATGTAGGTACAGAATATAAACAGCAGAGATAATTTAAAAGAATGAAGAAATGGGAACACCATGGAGAATTTAAAATAAATTGTATTAAAAGACTTAGGTTATGTATATACAGTTAACAAAGACATCATATAAATGCTTCACGTGAAAACATTACACAATCAGAGTACAGATGCATTTGTTTGACATACTGTGCATTTGTGTGGTTTTTCTCCCGTGTGGCGTCTCATATGCACCACCAACATGTACTGGGCCTTGAACGGCTTCTCCTCGCGGCTACACTCCTTCCATCGACAAATAAACATCTTCTTGTTGGCTTGTATATGATCTATGTTAATATGCTACAACCAAACACAAATAATATGATGGTTATTTCTTTTAAATAGTATTAAAAAAGTTAACCAAAAATCCAGTACATACGACAAAAAAATGTTTTGTGAAAATATGCATAAATGACTCTTGACTTTGCCAGTAATGGTACAATGTCAAAATAATCTGCTAATTTCTTTTTTCCCATATATGCAGAGAATATAAATGATTTGTGCTGTTTGTTCACTTAATTGCACTAAAGGTCTGCTTTTATAAAGTGACTATGACCATAAACTTTAACAATCTATAATTCTTTAAATATATGACAGTACCTTCACCAGGTCATCTTGAGTAGGGAACTCGAGGGAACAGTTTTCCCAGTGACAGTTTGTTTCTATGAAGTCGGGCTCCCCTTCCACCGGGATATGTTTTCCCTGAGAGTCAATCGTGGGCTTTTCATCATCATCATGTACATCTCCTAAGAACAGAAAATCAGAGTTATCTCTCTTTACCTCCACTTCAAAGAAAAGCTGTTTATCATGTTTATAAATATCATTTGTTTTCAATCACGTAAAATGAGTAAGCTATGAAATATACATACTATGAGATCCATGGTGTGACTCTGCCTCTTTCTTGATCTTTGACTTTTTGACCTCTATAGGGTTGGGATCAACAGTACTGCTTACAACACTGCTGCCTGCATCCTTTGTTGTTGTAGAAATCTGTGACTGTTCCCCAGAACAAAAAAATCATTATTCTTCATAAAAAATGCGAACTGAACAAGTCTGTATGTGGGGTCAACTTAAAATAAAGTTTATTTGCCCAACTCAGGATGAAAAATGGGTTGGTAGGTAGATTGATCCCCCCCCAAAAAAAGTTTCAACATTAATGCCAATTATTAAAAATCTACTTTCCAGAATACATGAAAAAATAATTCTGGTCTAGAACTTGATTCTGTATGGCTTGTTTACCTGTGAGTGGTCAGTCTTGGGTGGTGGCTGTTGAGGGGGCAGTGTTGTCTGTGTAGAGGGAGGCATTCCCATGTGCCCACCCTGGTGCATCCTTCCCGGGGCCATCATGGGCTGTTGCATCATGGGATGCATGAAGGGTGGGCCCTGCATGCTGCTAGCCGACGGTCTAAAATAGGGCAGTTGTGTCTGATGTGCAGGACTAACAGCCCCCAAAGATGCTGAAATAAAAACAAAGTTTAAAAGTGAAATATTGTAACATTTGACAACATTAATTATAATAGAAATGTAGAAGCTTTAACAAGCAGCAAAACCACAATAGATATGTTTATGTCTGAAAAACAGTACTTTACAACATCATATGTCACATGTTATTTAGATAAAGGCATACAAGTCTCTCTGCATGAATTCTTTCCAAAGATTTTTCTGTTCCGAGTTTTTGATCATCCAACTTTACCAAATTTTGAAATTAGAAGGGGGAAAAATTTCACTATGAGAGGATGCCTGCTTAATAATTTGAAATCTGTACCCTTATATTTCTTGAAATTATTGTTGTAAACATTTTATACACATTTATTTCAATTTAGAATTTTGGACTTCTTTTACAGCTCTATCCTAGACCTGAGGGTCCATGCAACAAATTGAAGCATAGCCCTAGTTGTGACTCTATCACAGTCCCAGGCCGATCTTTGAAGAATTCAAATCTAGACCAAATTTGGATGCTAAGATCCAAGTATTTTTTGATACATAACATGTACTTCAGTTCTGGGCAAGTGGTTCTATGAAATAAAACTTGTAAAAAATCCATGGCCCTTTAGCTGAATTTCTCACCCTTATAATGCTTTGAGGTAAATTGGCCAGTGGAAATTGGAAAATAGTTATTAAAAATGTTCAAAAGCTTGTAAATTATAAGCTCTGTGGAAAAAAAGTTCAAATTTGATCAAATACTCTCAAATTACTAAAATTACACTGTCAATGATAATTTTCTCTATATTAAGGAATACTTGTAAATATGAAAATTGTGAAAAAACTCAATTCTTTCATCTATATATATTTTTTTGTTATTTTTTCGTATTTTCTCTACATGGACGGTGGATCATTAGAATGCTCCCAACTCTCTGAGATAACAGGAAGTACAGAAAACCTAGAAATCTTTGTTTATCTCCAAAAAACTTCAAAAGAAGGTCTCCTAGAAGATGGTTTTTCTGAACTTGTATTTTCCATTAGTCACCAGTTAATTAGCAAAAACATGAAGGCAATTAAAATGAAAGAAAATAGGGTTGCTCTGCAGCGAAGTTGTTCTGTGAGTTGTCTTGAAGCTAGCACCTGTATGTGTTCAATGTGAGTGAACTTTGATCAGTATACAAATACAAGGGCCAGAATTAGAAACGACAGTCAAATTGTTTAAGCCTTGTGGAACCCCACTCGAGATCAGATGGAGTTAAAATAACAAATCTGTAAACCTTGAGAAATTCCATCAGCTCCATTAGACACACAAAATGATATTGCAAGTCTGAGCTTCAAAGAAGATATATCTCGACAAAAACATATATCAACAAACACCAGTTCTATAGGCAATTACCTAGATAGGCAATACAATGCGTAAAAAGCACAGCAAGACTGCAAGATCTGTTTTATTTATCATGTTAAGTTTCCACCAAATTTACAATGAAAAATATTCTTTTTACTGGCTGGATAAAACCTCTTCTGCCTTTTGGTGTAAATCATTATTGTATTCCCCTAATGGAGCCCCAAATATTCAGTGCTGTAGGGGAGCCCCCCACTCTACCAATCTCCAACCTCCCATTTGAAGATCCATTATTCTTGAGGTAAATACTTATGGAATGAGCCTCTGGTTACACCTACAGTACAAAACTAAATCTGAGGAAGTCAGAAAATCAGGCTCCATGGAATTTGTGATGCAATTCATAAATCACCGGGATACCAACTAGCAGACACACTAAGGAGGAAATGAGGCCACATAAAGGGAAACCAGTCAGTTTCCACCATTATACACTGATCTTTGTTTATACCCTTTGGCAATAAAAAACTATTAGAACTCATCAGAGCTTTTCCTCAACAAAATAATAGATCTTCTGAGGGGCTGCTTAATATTTAGTGGTAAAAGAAGTTTAGGGTGAGAAAACATTGGCAGACATTAGGGGGATCAACTGTATCACATAAAACGATCAAGCCCTTGCAGGTGCTACAGATTCTTTTTCAATATTACACTTTATAATTTGCACAATAAACTGTCTGATTTGTGGCAGATAAAACCATATGTGTGGTTTCTAAGCTTGGATGAATCTGTGCATGATATAAACACAATTTTCCAATTTTAAATATCCTGTTGGTTTTACAAATACTGAGAACTGAGATTTTGGCACAAAACACTTCAGTTACAAATAATGGGTTCCTCTCTCAAGTAAATTCATTTATCATTAAGCTAATAATTAATTCTGAAGTTTCCCAAAAACTAAGACTGTGTATAGTAATCAGCACTGTCAATTCAAATGATAAACTCCGTTCATCCCAATTACAGAGTTCTTAAGTTTATCATTTTATCTATTCTAACCACAGAACCAAAGTTTTCTCAGTGTGGTTTTTTGCACTGCCAGTCCTGTTACACATAGATTTAAGTGACCTCTTTTCATTGTACAAAAAAAGTTAACTTGGTGTAGACTGTACCCAGTCAGGGGTCATTTTGCGAGCAGGCAATTTTTAAAAAGACAAATGGAAAGACTTCACCATTTTTGTCCCATATAAATACTTTGATTGAAATTTTACCTTAAGCTGCAGATTTAACGCTTCTTTAATGGATTCTAGTTTTCTTAAATTTACAGTGTAATGTTAAGAAATGAACAAGTAGACATGAAAGTGCAAAATTTTAACAGAAAATTTAGGCCTATTTGCCAAGCATATCTAGGAATTTAAGAATCTTGGACAATTTTTTTTGTGGCACTATATAATTTGTGTCACTGGCAGGATTCCTAATTCAGCATCTTTGGCACAATTCTTTGTGTGCTTTCTCATTGACAGTATAAAAGTTTGATTCTGCATTACTGGCACATTATAATTCATTTAAAATCTGATAGCCCTTTTTCAATGTTTGCAGTAAATACAGCATACTGAAAAAATGAAATCCAACCATGAATCTACTTTTAGAAATTTAGCATATAGAAATATTTGAGAATATATCAGTATCTTTCATTACTCTTTATAATGATGACCAGGAAATAATGATGATTAGGAATCATTTGTGAATTTTGTTGAAGTTTAAGCTTCTTCAACCTTTCCAATTATCAGTAATGTATGGCAGAGAGTTTGTTCTTAAGATTGGTTATGGAATTGGATATTGTATGGTTACAATATTTGTGAACAAAAGTAAAATATTTGGTTTAAAAATCTCACCTGCAGACAAATGTCCATATGACCCACTGGCAGCACTTGAGCTTCTAGAATTATGGGTGCTCAGGTTAAAGGGATTGAACTGTAGTGACCCCTCAGAGCTGCGAGTTAGACTCTGGATGTCCAGGAAGTCCGAGATCGGGGAGTGGGACAGGGCTCGCTTCCGACTGCGACCAACTATACTCGGTCTTGGACTGGTCAGCCGGGAACCTACAAAATATTGAATGAAAACTTTTAATGACAGATTCTTTTTGTAGTTAGAGAATTTGGGATATATATTACTTGCACTGTCTGTCTCTTTGCAAGAACTTTACCATTAGGCAAATCTTTTAAGCAGTTGGTGTTAGAGCTTTGTTAAAAATTTGAATTTTTTTGGGTTCCAACATTATTGACCTCCTAACTTTGACCTTGGAATTTAATGCAATTTTGGAAAACTTTTATTTCAAGTTTATTCCTTGTGTAAAGCCCTAATTCTGGATATCAATGTTTTGACCTCATGACCTTGACCTAATTTTGGAAAACTCTGACCTTGGCATTGAGCTGCTATAAAGGGACATCAGTGTACTTCCAAACACTTCTTAAATTCTTACATTTTTCACTCATGTTGTGCGGAAAACCAAATCGATTATCAACAACAATATACAATACATGGTAAAACATAGGTAATCAGAGATTACAGAGCTCACCTCAACGAATGTTGTCTTTAAGTAAGGCAAAGTCACACAATTAACCAACAAAAAGTGTACATTCCAAAAATGAAAATATTTAAGCAATTTTGATCTGATACTTTGAAATAGACCTACATAAACAATTTAAACTAGTTCTTCTTCATGAAAATGTAATCAAAATCCAGCATCTGAAGCAAATTTGAGAATTTTCATCTCTTGATGAAAACTTTAACCTGTTCACTCAACCGGAAAATGTAGGTCAGATTCAGCATCCGAAGCAAGCCTGGTAGTGTGCATCCTTAGATGTATCATCCATGCAAGTTTGGTCAACATACGGCTTATAGTTACTTGGAAATGAAACCTGCACCAAAAACTTTAACCTGTTCACTCAACCACAAAATGTAGGTCAGATTCAGCATCCGAAGCAAGCCCAGTAGTATGCATCCTTAGATGTATCATCCATGCAAGTTTGGTCAACATAGGTCTCATAGTTACTTGGAAATGAAACCTACACCAAAAACTTTAACCTGTTCACTCAACCGGAAAATGTAGGTCAGATTCAGCATCCGAAGCAAGCCCGGTAGTATGCATCCTTTGATGTATCATCCATGCAAGTTTGGTCAACATAGGGCTTACAGTTACTTGGAAATGAGACCTGCACCAAAAACTTTAACCTGTTCACTCAACCGGAAAATGTAGGTCAGATTCAGCATCCGAAGCAAGCCCAGTAGTATCCATCCTTAGATGTATCATCCATGCAAGTTTGGTCAACATAGGGCTTATAGTTACTTGGCAATGAGACCTGCACCAAAAACTTTAACCTGTTCACTCAACCGGAAAATGTAGGTCAGATTCAGCATCCGAAGCAAGCCCGGTTGTATGCATCCTTAGATGTATCATCCATGCAAGTTTGGTCAACGTAGGTCTCATAGTTACTTGGAAATGAAACCTGCACCAAAAACTTTAACCTGTTCACTCAACTGGAAAATGTAGGTCAGATTCAGCATCCGAAGCAAGCCCGGTAGTATCCATCCTTTATGTATCATCCATGCAAGTTTGGTCAACATAGGGATTATAGTTACTTGGAAATGGAACCTACACCAAAAACTGCACCAAAAATGTTAACCTGCTCCAAAAACATTAACCTGGTCATTCCTTTGCTGAAATTGCAGCATCTGAAACTTTGACTGGTACAATGAAACACACTAGAACCATCTTCCATGCATGTCTAATCAATATAGGACATAGAAGTACTTAAAAAGAAAACTGCTCCAAAAAACTTAACCTTAACCTGGGACGCCGACGCCGAGGGTATTACATAAGCTCCCCCAACTTCGTTGAGGTGAGCTAAAAATATAATTTCAAACTTTGTGTGAAAAAATTTTTGTTTGTAGATAATTTTTGTTTGAATAGAGCAATGTAGATGTACAGTCATTTATATGGAATGTCTGCATGCCTCTGGGACAAAATGGTCATCTAAAGCTCCTTTCCACCTGGGTTTATGATCGCTTGGTTATCATTTGATGTCTTTCTCCATAAACAGCGTGATTTAAGAGAACCATCATGTGTACCAAGCATATTATCATTGTGCAAGGACTAGCTTTAGGTAAAGAGGGATTTTAGGATATTTTCTTTACATTGTTAGATTTCACAATTCACCAGATTAAAATATTTAGCAATAGAACATAAATTTAAAGACTTCTTTAACCTTTCAATTTTTCTTTCATTTGTGTCAGTTAACATTCTATTCAATCGGATATTTATATCATAGGAAATATCTGTATATAAATTTTACTAGTGTGGTAGGTCATAAGCAATAATATAGCTATAAGTTGTACACATTTAGAACACCTTTGGCCTCTTCTGATAGCCATTTTATACCCTTATGACTTCATAAAGGAGTGCTCAAAGCTATGAAAGAAAAGCCACAATGATATTTATCACAAAGAAAGTCTTTGTCTATCTTTACTTGCAAGTTTATTACTTTCAATAGAAAATATCATAAAGAGAGCTGCAGCAGTTGATAAATGTAAACTAACTTCATCCATCTTTCTTTAATAAAATTCACAATAATTACAAGATTTTTCACTAACTTACAATTATTTCTCCGTGACATATTTAACTAACTTAATTATGTACATGTATTTGTGTACAATGTTTCCTATATATTTGCAAAAATTTAATAGTCACCATTGAATTTCAAACTGACAATTGCCGATGCCAAAGGAATTTTAATAGCCTTGTCCAAAGGACTGGTGCTGTAACTTTAATAAGATGAATGATTCTAATTATTTTACTTTGGCTTGAAGAGTCACATAAACAACTTTCATATCATATGCATGTATTCATTCAGGATATATATGTACATACACATTTTAAAATTTGTATAATTTTGAAATATAAGCTTCTCTGCCCTGCCCAGATATCAAGTTAATGCCTAATAAACAGATTCATCATCCTATCTGAGTCGCAGCCCTATTCTGGTCTCCACATCAAACAGAAGTGACCTGCCATTAGCACCATGCCACTGAACACGGCAGATTATCTATGTAGATATTTGACAAATGTTGGGGACACGGGACATGATGAACTGGACGTTAGTTTTCGTTTTCACTACGGCAGGAGAAACACCTGTCTGCGACATAAATCAGCCTGGCCCAGATTGCCACCCTTGGCTGACGAAGCATGCTACCTAAGGTCCCTCAGTGCAGGCACAGAAAGTCATCAAAATCGTAAAGCCAATACCTCAATGGACATTGATAGCAGGGAGGTGTTTATATCGTTTTTTGTGGCCATTTTGCCTTACCTGAAGTCTCAGGTGAATCATAGGTATTGCCACTTACGCTTGTGACTGTATGATCAGATCAGTTTGATTTTTACAGATAATGTCCTCGCAAATGTAATAGAAAACTCAGATGATTTTTTGTCTGATATCTCTGACTTTGAAACAATCATTAGTGAAATTTATGTGATCTACCAGTCAATGAGTGTTGTTGATGCATGTTTTCCTAGATCCCAATGAAAGATTTCTACTCTAGATATGTAGATTTATGATATAAAAGTATGATAAATATGCTTCATTTTTATGTAGTGTCAACTAATAAAGTCTAAGTTATTGAAACCTCATTTAAGTTGAGGAAACCAAATAAGAATGGAATATACAATTTTTCTTGTTAAACTGTATAAATATATGGCCCTATGAATTTACCTAACTCCTGTAACATATGGTGACCATGCCAAATATCCATTATACCGATAATTTAATTACAGTGGAGCCTCATTTATCCGGACGCTTTGGTTCCTAGTCAATTTGTACGGACATGTGAAGCGTCCGGATACCTGAATCACCAGTTAAACAAGACAAATAAAGTTAAAAAATTCTGTTCCGAAAAAATCGTCCAAATACTGAAGCATCCGTATATCTGGCATCCAGATATCTGAAGGTCCACTGTATAATATTCCACATATTTTTTTTGCAAAAATTTTGCAATTTTTTAAAAGAGAAACTATCAAAATAGCTAGCTTTAATTAAGCTAAAGGCTGAATATGATTTTATTTATTGATCAGTCAACTCTATTCACTATGTGTTTAATTTCATGGAAAAATGATAAATTGTGAGCATAATAAAATTAAATTCATTTTCTAAAGTACTCAATACACGGCATTTTGAGGAATCCTTTGGATTACCTTCCAGTGATCCAGGGAGTGTTATACTTCCACTTCCTGGTGTGGGAGGGATGTCCCCAAACATGCTCCGCCCACTTTGTGACACATGACTAGGAGGATAATCACCATACAAGGAACCAGGACCTCCTAGGGGTAATCCTGAAAATAAATGTAGGTTTACCATCAGATTCTCAGAAAGAGCCAAGAACTTCAGGAAATATCATACCTAGGGAGTTCAGGGGCCACCAGAGTTAGCTCCCTTCCCACCTCAAGGAGATTAATTTTCATTTTGATATCTTTACAAAGATTTAAATTGCCAATTAGCAAAGAAATTGATGTTAATAATTCAAGCAAATGCTCTAAAGACTAACATTGGTGTCTCAAATATTACAATGTTCATTTTGAGATCGTAAAATATTATAATACGATGGCCAATGTAATAAAAGTTCCCAATAAAATCCATTACTAAACATCCTTATTTGAAACTTTATTACCTGTGCATGGAGGTGTTTTTTTTCCCTTCATTGGGGTCTTATTATTACAGTGATGGTTTGTAAGATAGAACATTTTTTTAAACAATAAAATGCTTTCTTTGTTTGTTGTTACTGGAATGAACGGAAGCAGCTGTTGCAGAGAAAATACATAACCCGCATAAGCGGGTTATGTAAATTTTTTCTGCAATAGCAGCGACCGTTCATTCCAGTAACAACAAACAAAGAAAGACATTTTATTGTTTATATTTATATCTGTTTAAATAATCAATTAAAGTAGGATTAAAAAGATTAATTATTGTATTAATGATGCGAACGTCTTTATATGTTCCATTGATGGAACAGCCACGGATTAAGAAATCTGTACAGGCGACATGCCTATTGTAGTTTATGCAGGGATGAACGCAATGGGGTTTCTTAAGAAATAAAGGAGAAAATATTCAGTGGATGTAAATATTTACATTGTAAATTCAAAACATAAAACCATTTCTTAACAAATCACAAAAATGTAATGCTTTATGCATACCTGGTAAGCTGGAAGGACTATATCTTCGTTGTGATAGGGGACTTTGATGATAATAGTTTCTCTGAAGCTGTTCCCAGTGAATGCGGGCTGCTAGGTTTGTGACTGGTTCTCGTGCTAAAGGGCTTCGTAGACTGAGAGAAGGAACATCGGATAAAGGACTGTGAGGAATGCTACAAAAAACAAAGATAGTGAAATATATGTGACTTTAGAGCATGATTTATTTCCTAGAATATAAAGATCATATTTGAAAGATTGTGAATATTGCAACAATGCACACAGTGTTTAAACTTTATGACAAAAACTGAATTCCTCTTTTACGTATTACAATGCATCCAATTAATGCCTGTTCTTAAAAGGTATTTCTAGTTTGTGAGTAGCAACTCCATTTTTTTGTTGCATTTGACCTCTAACCTAAAAACATGACCTTAATTTCATCAAAACTTTTACCTTGAAGAAACACCTTTAGTCTTTGTTGCACATACTTTATATTGTGCAACATACACTTGAAAAGACATACTGTCTCTAAGCAGACCCAAATTAATCACCTACTACCTCTCAAACAAATAATAATATTAAAACCTGATAATAACCTTAAAACTCAAAGAAGTTAACCTTTTGGTTTTCCAAACAGTTGTCAAGCTGGAATTTAAAACTTGACAATTTCAAAAGCCATGTTTTATAACTGAAACAATTTTATTTTTTCTGTTTGAAAATGCACAATAATTGATCCCCCAACCATATAAAAAGACCTAAAACCATACAGTGATGTGTCAAAACTTTGAAATCAAGAAAAACTGTTAAATAAGTAACAGTGAATGATTGATTACCAAAGTGACTCATCTTTTACATGACAAAAAGTTCCAAACCAAACAAATAATGCCAATTGCCTGTATAAAATCCTTATGTGGTAAAAAGCTTGACCAATCACATTAACATGTTTGTCTCTTTTTTAAACCAATTTCAGTTTTTTATTGTCTGGCTTTTACCATGACAATGTTTTTTCCTCATGAAGTAATTCAGGATAAAAGCACATACAAGTTAATTCTACAAAAAATGAAGACCCATGACATTAAACATACTACCTTCTGAGCATCCATGTTAAGTGTACATGGCCATAGCTCTGTTTTGACTGTACGGAGATGGTCAGGATATGGCTGACATAACAGTCCATTACATTGAAGAGCTGTAGACATGACTTTCATTGCATCTTTAGTGTAATAATCTCTTCTTTAGGTGTGTATATCAAAGGCAGACTTAATAGCATCTATGTCTGGGTTTAGGTGTGTGATCCAATATCAAAGACCCTATGTTTAGCTATCATAGTTCTTGCCTTTCTGCTAAATCTTAAGGAAAAGCCTTATCAATATACTGACCTGTGGAATCCCCCTGGAAGTGACCATAACCTTATAACGGACTCATATACTGTGAAACTATATCAGCATATCAAATGATCTAAATTTAAATGTATATAGTACGAGTACAAATAACTTTGCCAACTTTTATCTGACCCAAGACTACAAATTGACCTTGACCTGCTATAAACTTGATTCAAGCCAAATCTGAGTCTGCTTACTGATACATATGCAGGTATAAAATCTACAGTCATTGTAAAAGAGAGAGAAAGGAAAGCTATTTACTCTATCCGCCTACCATCAAGTTGTCATAGATATGACCCACCTGGTATGAGTTATCCATAAGTTACCAGTTGATGAAATGACCCAGATAAAGGGCATTGATAAAGCTTCTTCAGGACATAGATTACTCACTAGACATAGGCTTTTTTTTACAGGTGAGCAAACATCCATTCAGCATTTCACTTAATTACTGTGAACCAACTTTTATTCGCGACGACTTTATTTCGCGATTTACCGGGAGTAAACTTGTTCGCGACGATTAATTTTCGCGATCAAGCCTATTTAGGTTCTGTTGTAAATAGACACATAGACTTTTAGAACCGGTTCGCGGCGAGAAATATTCGCGATGACGAGACTCTAGCGAAACTCACAAAAAATTCTCGTACGCGAATAAAAGTTGGTTTACTTATACAAATGCTCTGCTGCAACTTTAATCACTTCATGTTGAGGCCTGATAAGTTCTTTACTCATGAGGCACAGCAAGTGTACATTTTAGGCATAGGTTGATGATATGACCCTGGCTGAGGCCCCTATCTAGTATGACTTACCCAGGAGGCATAGGTAAATGATATGGCCCTGACTGAGGCCCTTATCTTGTATGACTTACCCAGGAGGCATAGGTAGGTGACATGGCCCTGGCTGAGGCCCCTATCTTGTATGACTTACCAAGGAGGCATAGGTTGATGATATGGCCCTTGCTGAGGCCCCTATCTTGTATGACTTACCAAGGAGGCATAGGTTGATGATATGGCCCTTGCTGAGGCCCCTATCCTATATGACTTACCCAGGAGGCATAGGTTGATGATATGGCCCTTGCTGAGGCCCCTATCTAGTATGACTTACCCAGGAGGCATAGGTTGATGATATGGCCCTGGCTGAGGCCACTGGTATCGTCCCTCCAGTGTGTGGGAGTTCAGTGGTATTGGGTTGTTGATGTGGTAAGGGATGTTGTAGTATCGATAAGGATTAATGTTGAATCCTGTAAAACACGCACGAACTGTCAGTAGAAAGTATTATTGAATTACAGTTTTTATTTTTTTCCCATTCAAAATGACTCAGTCTTGAACTTATGAAGAGTAATTACAATTGGCGCTGATTATTTCAATCTTAAGTTGAAATACTTTTCATTAAGATACTTTATTCATAAAAAGAAATTGAATAGGTAATTATGAAAAGAAAAGAATCTCAATTATATTACAAGCTGGCACTGTTATCAATTCTAATTTCTAGATCTGATTACCATAAGGATAGTCCAGTAAACCATTTCTAGGGTCCAGAAGAGGCTGTACACCATAGTATGGACTCTGTTGTGGAAGTCTGGGATCTATTGGGGGTGGTAGTGGGGTGGGCCCCACCCCCCGATCGACAGTCTCAACCTCCCGTACTGGTTCGGATGTGGACGGTTCCTCATCCACACGTGGGAGGTTACTTGGAGGACGGATAACGTTTGGAGGACGTCGTGTTTTCGAGGACGAGTCAGCTAATAAAAAACAAAATACTGAGTTCAAAATTTTGAAATCAACATAAAGCCTAAAAAATGTATGTGTTTATCTTCACAATATGCTCATTAGTAAGGGTAAAATTGTGCTTTCTGGATTTCATAATCCGTCTTCAGGTGTACATATTTGAACTGATTGTTTTCTTAGTACTTTGTTAGGTAGCTCATTTGATTGCAGCAGCTTGTTTCATAGATAATTAAGAGGCACAAAATAAAAGTGTTAGAATTTTAGCCCAAAAATTGGGCCTGAACCCTGGATCAATCTTCAAGAATTGATGAAATTTAAAGTTCTAAGATTTATTGAAATGATATTTGAAGAATGTATAAGTTGTGGATATTTTCTCTCCTTTAGTCTTCAAATCGATCAAAGTTTGGGAGGGGGTTTATTTAACCTTTTCCAAAAAATTTCTAACACAAATATCTAAAATCATCCAAATAATATTTGGTGAAAGAAATGATCAATTTTAGAACCATTTTCAGCTTAGTTTGGACTTTCAGTAAGGCGTTGCATTCTTGGCGCTACATGTTTACAGCCTGTCAAATGGCGAATAGATTCTCATTGGTTAAGAAATTAATAACATCAGGAACTTTGAATTGTTGTTGACAATGAAGAGAGGACTTGATCTCCACCTCCTTGCAGGACGAAACAATGTAATTGGTTATTTGATAAATTAATTGGCATTTGCCTGAATTTCTATCCCATGTATATTTCATCAGTGAAGGAAAGCTTTGTAATTTCAGAAGCTAATTATGCAACTTGAGAATGCCACGCCTTACTGAAAGTCCAAACTAAGCTGGAAATGGTTCTAAATGTTGCTGAGGATTTCTATACATAAATTTGACAAATCTGTATTTATAAAATAAGTTATTTGGTAATGATTGAGAACAACTGAAAGCTAGAAAATATTCATTAATAAGAGGACAAGAGAATTTTTATCATTGTCTGCAGAAAAGTGCACAGCAGATGTTTTAGCTTTAAGAATTAGCTTGGTAAAAATAAAGAAAAACATCCTGAAGTGCATCTTTAAATCTCTGAAAAAACAAACCTCAAAACTATATATCAGTAGCTTTTGACAGCTCAGCATTATAAATACAGGGAAGTTTGATACTGAGGCAAATATATAGCTTAAAAAGAGCACACTATGGAGCATAAATTGTTTCTCTGAATTTTTGTTCTTGAAGTCAACTGCAAAAAACAGCATCCAGCACAGAAGTTATCTGTGGAGGTTTGATTAGATTCATTTGTGCTAACTTGCAAGCTGAGAGGAAAATTCAGAATGTTTACTGATAAATCAACTCCCCCAGACTTTGCACATGTGGACATTTGGGATGATTCTCTGATTTGTTAAATACTTTTGGATTCTAAAATTATCCTCTGGCACTTTTAATCACAGGTTAATTCTTAACCCTCCAATTTGCTGACTTGGAAATGCATTGTCAGTTTGTCTGAGGGGTTCTAAAAACAGGCAGGTAGACCAGGAGCAGGGGGAGGGGGGGGGCTACCCCCTTTTTTCCAGACATAACTTTTTACTATAGAAAATGTTCATTGCAAGACTAACCCTCCCCCTTCCTTTTTTTTTTTAGATTATCAATTTTTTTTTCAGGTACTAGTTGAAAAAAAATTCTCTGTCTTTCCCCTCCACAATCAAATATGATGCTGTGTCCCTGCAAAGGACTTACAATAAAAATATTGCCTTCAAAAAGTTTAATTGACCATATTGTGAATTCTTCAAAGTTGGGTGGGAGTATGCATCCATATAGGATTGAATAAAAATGTTATACATAATATCTGAAGTCAGTAAGGAGGCAGGAAAATGGTATTTGCACACTGTAATAATTAATGCATTTTTTTCCTTTTGTTTCTCCCTTAATATCAAATACCTCAAGTGCTAGCTAATGTATTAATATTTAAATACATTCCTAAGCACCACTTGTATTGCACTCAAAAGATTTTTTTCCCCTTTTTAGATGTTTTAATTATACTTTCTGCACATTCTTTTAATAATACCTGTCACCAGCATGTTAAAAATTATTTCATAGGCATTTTTTCTCTGTATTAACATTTAACACACAGATATATGCATGTAAAAATCAGGCTCTCAAGCACACCTAACAAATACACAAGAAGACTGGTGCAGTGCTATTTACACTGTGCTGATCAAGTTTCCCAGTTCAGACAGAAGGCTTACACAACCATGACTGTATGTTCGTGCCATCATGTAAAATGTCGCTAGTTCTTCAATAAATGTCCCAACAAAAACACTCTTTATTTTACAACCTGTGAACAGTGTACTAAAGACACCATCATAAATTAGTGACATCTCTTCTATACCCTGCAGCTCCTATTACCTTCAGTGTCTACAAAATCACCCACCAGAACGCACAGCGTACTGCCCCAGCTCCTACCCATATCACCTTCATAACTTCTGACGGTTTTTTTTTTTTTTTTTTACTTTTTTAACCCCTCGTATTTTTTCAACACTTAAGCATCCAATGCCCAGAGAAGTGAATGACACACCCATAACTAAGTTACTGAGCACGCATTATACATGCATTAAATCTCAGAACATATCTCATCTTTTATGAGAAAAATTTCTTTTAAATTTCTTTTTGAAAGCCTTTGAAGGACACTTTTATTGTGTTATTGTGAAGAATTTTCTCATTTAAAATTCATTATGTCTGGCAATCCATTTGCATAATTTAAAGAATTTAAAAGAGAAAAGTCAAATTTTATACTTCTATATAAGGGCCAAAACATTCACTGAAAATTAATTTTTGAAGCACAAGAAAAATACACAAAAATCTTAATGCTAATTAAGAATACCATACCATAATTTAACATTTCCCTTTTTGCACTTACTTTTATATACAGGAGTTGCGTATTTAAGACTAAATGCAAAATGATTAATTCAAAACATTAATGTTAATGCTATGTTTAATTCTGAAGTGTCTGCAAAGAAGACATTGGATCTTTCTTTTTTTTTTTTGCAAAGTACTCAAAGTAAATTTATTTGATTTAATTAAAATTTTGTTAAAAATATCTTTTTAAATGTTTTTTATATGTTCAATACAGATTCTACATCAAGATGGATATGACACTCTTTTTTCCCACTTGGAGGTACAAAGGGTCCCCATTGTTGCTTTTTGAGTACAACATGAAGGTTATTAAAAAGAAAAAGAAATTTCTGCTTCAACATAAAAAAAACCTGAATATCTGTCAAGTTGAAAGCCTGGGCCAGACCCAAGAACCAGAACTAATTGCCCACACTTAGGAGGTATAAAATATGTTTCTATAAAACAGTTCATGTGCAATAAAAAAAATCAAGAGATATAGAAGATTTCACTGGGCTTTCATTTCAAGTCGGAGGTTTAAACAGAAGGCTTTGTTATTTCCTGAGTTTAGTCACACAAAAAATGATTTTTTGATGATTTTGAACCCTTGCTACCGGTATGCTTGAATAATTTGGGGTTATTTTTTGGAAACAGCTAGGAGAAATCTAATCACTTAAATGGGCTTTATAATAAGGAGGAATAGCTTTTGTCTCCTTCAGAGGAATTAGTCAACATGTTGAAGAACTTGATTCTCCTAAAATCATTTGTACAGACGTCATAGCTTCCTCTTGTACTGGCATTTATCAAAAGTTCTTGGTAATTATCGGGATATTTGATCAAATATACTTCTCAATTGAAAGAAATTGGTGGGCAAAAAATTAGGCTGGATGACAATATGATCTAACACTATTCATCTGTCAAAATGTCTGATCCAGGCTTTGATAACAAAGTAATCTGTATGCAGTTGTGTTTTTGAAAAAGGCTCTGAACAAGACTTGCATGCTTGATATATTTACCGTAGTCTCGCCTCGTGAGTGCTGGCAATACATTAACAAAATGTCATAAACCTACATCGGTCATAATACATAAACCCACAAAGAGTCGTCTTCACATCTCATTTAATTATCAATCTGTGTGTTAAAGCGCAAAAGGAGGTTCCCTCAAAAGGCATAGACTGCACAGGGTGAAATACAAAATATATTAACATAAAATCTTTTAAAAGGACAAGATCTTTCATTTGAAGGATGACATGTAAGCTTTCTTTAAGAATATAAACCAAATATCTTTGTTACATAACTTCTTATACAGAACTTTTTTCTTCTGGGCTTGCCTAATGAAGAGTTTGAGACATTGCTTCAAATACTTTGTTTCCCTTATAAAGCACATACAGATGAAATTAGCTTTCTATCAATGCTATGTCACTTGTAGTAGGAAAGGAGAAATGCACAAGGAAAACCTATGGCTGGACCGGGAATCAATCCCGGGACCCCTGTATCACTAGTCAGGTGCTCTAACCACTGAGCTATCCAGGCCGATATCCACGGTCCATAAAGCCCAAACTTCTACACACTTCAAGAATATTTAACTTGTACTATAGAGGTAACAAATGCAGATTTTCCAATGACATTGTCTACCAGTTTATCAGTCACCAATTCCTATTGCATTCACTGCTCCCACCCATTTCTTGATCATAAAAGAGAGAAATAGTATGGTGCATTTTTGTAAAACTTTTATTGATCATAAGTCTCTGCATGATGAGACTGCATGTAGCTCTACTTTTTTTTATACTTAACAAAAGCATATGAAGGTAGCATTTGGACTAGAAATTTCCAGTAGCCAAACTGGTCAAAAACTGTAGCAGCTAGAGTAACATTTCTGAAGAATTTCACAGAAATTTCAATCTTTAATTTCAATCAACAGTGTTCAACAAAATCAAAATCTGACTCAGAGAATTATCCCAGTATATATATGGTCTACTTGCAATAGTGTTTAGTTACATATGTAATCAGATAAAAACTTGTGTAGTGGAGAAATGTTTTAAATTTCAATGGAAACTAAAAACTTGTGACTAATAATATTGTAGGAGAAATGTTATTAAATTTCAAACTCTTTGAAAGTTGGAAACTATGTAAATTAGGCAGGTTGATAGG